TGCACATCGAGCACTTTTGAGACTGAGCCATCTCCCAGTCCCTGGCCAGGGTCTTGAAATGCCGGGTTTGTCTATGACTGAACCTCTGTCCCTCTGCTCCCTGAAGAGCTGCTGAGACACTGTGGGGACATTGGTCACTGCTCTTTACCCTAGGACAGGCCTCGAAGTTCCTTTACTAGAAATAAAATTTCCTTTGGTTCAGAAATTTGTGATGAGTCAAAAGCAATGAAAACAAACACGCAGGGTGTGTGCGAGCCTGGCTCTGTGAGCAGGTCCGACATGAAGCACACCATGAGCTCTTGCATCTACTCTCAATTTGGAAAAAGAAACAAAAGTTACTTCAGCGAAAAACTGTGAGCTGTTTAGTGGCCCGTCTCAAGCTGTCCCATCCGCTATGGATGTGGAGACTACTGTTGTCACCGGGGAGCAAATTCACCCAGCTTTCCCCAGGAGCGTGACGGGGTTTTCTGGTCGGACACTAGTCGTCCTTCCTGCCTCTAGGAACAGAAGCTGCATTTCTGAGACCCAGTGGCTGTGGTGTGACCACGACACCCCTTACCTTATTCTTCTCACCGTCTCCTCGAAACTTCAGTACCACATATATCACAACGACGAAAAATAGCCAGAGCCATTTACTCCCAAGCCAGCTTTGGGTGTGCTCTGGAAGATTCTGTCTAATCCGGAAATGTCCTCCACAAGGCACCTTCCCTGGGCTTTCTTTGGTTTTCTCCCTCAGCGAAGAAAACATGAAGGCGCAGGCGCAAGAGATGCACAGAGGCAGGAACAGGAACCATCTCAGCGTCCGCATGGTGAGCAGAGGTGGGGCGGGAAACTGCTCATGGTGGGTCTGTCTGCCGCCGTGCCAGAGAGACTGGGGACCTAGTGTTGGGCCCTGGTGATGTCACAGAGGGCCCTGAGCTGACAGCCCCAGCCATTGTGATGCCTTTGGCTTGAGAAGACTGAGGTTCATGGCAAGCAGCCTGCCTAGCAGGACTTCCAGGGAGGAGAAACTCCCAGAAGACGAGAGAGGAGGGAGTTGTCTCCTTGCCAGAAGGTTCTTCCTGAGCTTGGCACACTGTTGGAAGAGGCTATCATCTATTTCTGATTTTATTTTTGATTCAGACATTGTGGTGAACAGCTAATGTGCCCCCTGGAGCTGGGTCCAGTAAGAAACAAGGTTACCAGCCACAGGTTGCTGGTTAAGGGTCATGGATCTTTCCTTTGGCCTGCACCAAAAACTGTGACTCATCAGCATTGTGGGGACTGTCACCCAAGGGGCTGGGGAGATAGCTCAGTAGGTAAAGTGTTCGCTACGCAAACGTAAGGGCCCACTTTTAGTACCCAGAACATGTATAAAAAAGCTGGGTGTGGTGGTGTGCTCTCACAATTGCAGCACCGGGGAGGCAGAGACAGGCCAGCTTGGGTTTGCCGGCCACTCAGCCTAGGGACTTGTAGAGTTCTGGGCCAGTGAAAGATGATACAAGTGGACAGCATCTGAGGAACACTACCCAAGGCTGACCTCTGGTCTCCACATGCACACACACACACACACACACACACACACACACACACACACACACACACACGAACACACAAACACGCAGTTGGTAGAGGTGACAAGAAACAAGACATGCTAACATGCAGCCTAAGGCCCACACTTGTCGCTCCTGGTCACAAGGAGGGACCTTGCTCAGACCCACCGAGGGTGACTTTCTACTGACCTCCTCACGCTGCCCCCAACCGCATTGCCCTCTGACAGTGGCAGGTTCCACAGACTCATCTGTCAAGGGGCCGGTGGCCAAGTGAGCCACAGGGACACTCCCCTAGGGCACAGCTGCTGCTGCTGTGGGCTCCTACCAGGCCCTGGTTCAGGCTTGGAGGAATACAAGCTTTACTGCTGCTTTAGAAATTAGGCTTCATGTTACCGAAGCTTCCTATCCTCAGAGCTGCAAAGCCTCCAGAGGCAAGTGGCCCTGGTGGTCATGGCTGTGGCCGGGGTCGGCACGGCCTGTTTGGAGGTTCATCCTTGGCAGGCCCTGAGCCAGATCTTGAAAATTGACACGGTGAAGGTCTTGCAGGGGTCGGGTGTCCATGTCTGTAGGGCTTGCTTTTGATGTCAGCTCTGGAATTGAGTAGCTGTTTGGTGACACCATATAGGAAGATAGGCTCGATTTGCAGAGATGGTTCCATACAACACAGCCCACCACGCCTGGCACACTAGATTTCGGCTATCTGGAAACATTCATGGGTACCTAAGGGTAGGAATCCCAGAATCCCTTTCCTTCAGTGTGTCCACTGAACAGGACTGGGGAAGGCCGGCCACTTTTCTTTGGTGCAGGCCATAGATCCCTATCAAACAGCAACCTGTGGCTGGTAACCTTGTTTCTTACTGGACCCAGCTCCAGGGGGCACATTTGCTGCTCACCACAATGTCTGAATCAAATAAATGAAATCAGAAATAGATGATGGCCTCTCCCAACAGTGTGCCAAGCTCAGAAAGAACAGAAAGGTCCTGGACTCGGGTGGTGGGTGCAGCTGAGGGTGGAGCTCAGCTCCAGGGCCCTAGGAAGGGACTCGTGTCAGTCTGATGCAGCAGGGCTTCTCACAGACACCCAGGGAAGCTCAAAAGCTGGTCCTCCGCCCTCAGGGAGGCCATGCCTTTCCTAACCACACAGGCTGGAGAGGGTTCTCAGAACAAACGCTGTTCCGTTATCGGGGTTCCCTTTAGGGGCATGGCAAGGAAGGAGTCACAGAGCCCAGGAGGCAGACATCTGTGGAAGTTTCTGAGGCTGGAGGCCTGAAGATACTGAAGTTTCAAGACTGAGAAATGTGAAAGTGGTTAAAAAAAAGTCATAACAAAATTTGAAAGTTGTAATTATTAAAATACAGCTTAAGAGGACTGTTTTCTCTGTAAAGATACAATAAAACAGAGCAGCCTTGAGTTTTACTGTTTGCTTCCTCTTGCCCCCAATAAAGTCCTCTTGATAAAACAAACGAAAAACTATTCAAATAAAGTAACTGTTATAATTTTTTTTTTTTTTTTTTTTTTGGTTTTTCGAGACAGGGTTTCTCTGTGTAGCTTTGCGCCTTTCCTGGAACAAAAAAAAAAAAATTTTTTTTAGCACTCGGGAGGCAGAGCCAGGCGGATCTCTGTGAGTTCGAGGCCAGCCTGGGCTACCAAGTGAGTCCCAGGAAAGGCGCAAAGCTACACAGAGAAACCCTGTCTCGAAAAACCAAAAAAAAAAAAAAAAAAAAAAAAGATTTTTTTATTATGTATACTTTGTCCTGTCTGCATGTACACCTGCAGGCCAGAAGAGGGCGCCAGATCTCATTACAGATGGCTGTGAGCTACCATGTGGTTGCTGGGAATTGAACTCAGGACCTCTGGAAGAGCAGCCAGTGCTCTTAACTGCTGAGCCATCTCTCCAGCCCCCATTATGAGAATTTAACAGGAAAAAACCCCTCTAAAACAGCTAATTCAGCTTTGTTTTGGAAAAGTACACAATAAAAATTCATTTTTTTTTTTTTTTTTTGGTTTTTCGAGACAGGGTTTCTCTGTGTAGCTTTGCGCCTTTCCTGGGACTCACTGTTAGTCCAGGGTGGCCTCGAACTCACAGAGATCCGCCTGGCTCTGCCTCCCGAGTGCTGGGATTAAAGGCGTGCGCCACCACCGCCCGGCGTGACAAAATTCATTATTTTTTAAGACGGGGCCTCATGTATTCTCAGGATTGCCTAAAACTTGCTAGGTATCCCAGGATAGTTCTGCACTTCTTATCCAGCTGCCTCCACCTCCCAAATGCTGGGGCAACAGGTGCCTGTCACATCTAGATTATTATGCAGTGCTGGGGACAGAACCCAGGGCTTTGTGTGTGCCAAGCAGGCACTCAACCCCATGAGCCACATCCTCAGCCCTGGTTAATTTTCATTGAAAAACTCATATATATGCTGTAATTCCAGCACTTGGGAGGTTGAGTCAGGAAGATCTTGAGTTTGGGGCCAGCCATGCCTAAGGTGAGGCCCCGTGTCAAAAACAAAAACAAAAAACTCCCAGATATTTCTACAATCTTTATTTTGGTTTCTAAGTACAAAGATCAGACATCCCAGGTCTCTTGGACAATGCTCATTTCACAGCTTATCCTGTTTGCCCACGCCTACACTCCCCCTAACATACTGTCTAAGAACTTACTTCAAGTGTCCTTGGGGCTTAGCTCCATCACTTGCAAGCAGAGAACCTGAGGGTTGTTTTCTTTTTTTTTTTTTGTTTTTTTGAGACAGGGTTTCTCTGTGTAGCTTTGCGCCTTTCCTGAAACTCACTTAGTAGCCCAGGCTGGCCTCGAACTCACAGAGATCCGCCTGGCTCTGCCTCCCGAGTGCTGGGATTAAAGGCGTGCGCCACCACCGCCCGGCCTGAGGGTTGTTTTCTAAGGCAAGGTCTTGCTATGTAACCTAGGCCAGCTTTGACATCTCAGTGATCTTCCTGCCTCAGCCTGAGGGCTTTGATTACAGACATGCCACCATGCTTGGGGTAGAAGCAGGGGCTTTAGTGTTTATGTATGTTTGCACGCTCATAGGCTTGTGTGGAGGCCCGGAGCTGGCACTGGGCATCTTTCTCGGTTGTACTCCATTCTAGTTACTGAGACAGGTTCTCCAAGAACCTTGAGCTTGTGAGCACCTTGCCTGGGAATCCCACCTCTGCCTTACAAGGGTTGGAACCACAGGCCACAGTGCTCACCTGGCTTAAGGCTCTGGGGATCCAGACTCTGGTCCACAAGTGTGCGTGCCGAGGGCTTATCTGCTGAGCGAGCCATCCAGCCAAACCAGGAGCAGGGTTTTAGAACTGGCCCATGGAGACAGTTCTACCCTGCTCCCATGAGCAGTCTTACAGAGGTTCCAATTATAACTGTGAGGATGGAAAAGGTGTCACTCCTGTCTGCCCCTGTCACCTTGATGGCTGCCATTTTCTTACCAAGCTGTAAGAGGAAGAAAGAAGAAAGAAGAGATGAGAGAAAAGGGTTTTATTCTGTATCACTCAGGCGTCTGATTCCTCTATGATGATGTCCTTGTATCGGGCAAGAACCCCAGAGCAAGGTCTGACAGCTGGAACTCTGTCCCTAAGCTGAACTCAGGGTCAGTGCTTCCCTAACCCATTACAGCTTTAGAAAATGAGCCAAGTGTGCAGTGAGGAACCCAGAATCTTTCTGTTACCTAAACGTGAGCAGGAGACTCACCAGGCTACCAGGCTAACCCAGAGGTGCAGCCTGGGGGAGAGGCCGCCAGTCATGTGAAGCCACCTCACCCTCCCCGGGACCCACGCTCCTCACAGCAAGTGACCACACAGGTCCAGTATCGGAGAGGACAGCTTTATAGCACATTGCCACATCAGGCAAGTGGCCTAGAAGGCCACAGGGGAGGGGCCCTGCGGGGAGGGGCCCTGAGGGGAGGGGCCGTGCGTGGCCCTGCTTCAGAAGCAGTAGGACGTGTGGGTGACCCAGTGGGCAGACTCCTCCTTGGAGCGCTTGGCAGAGCTGTGGCTTGTGAAGATGGACTTGTAGGTTTCAGACTCTTCACTGTCTGCAATGGACCTCTTCAGGGCCCCACACGGCGGCTTCCCAGCTTTCCCAGAAGCATTCCCGTTAGCTGCTAGAAAACAAAGACAAAATCTGTAAGGCTGGGACTAAAGACCACTCCAAATGTCCAATTGTTTGTTTTCCAAGACAGGGTTTCTCTGTGTAGCCCTGGCTGTCCTGGCACTCACTCTGTAGACCAGGCTGGCCTTGAACTAGTGCTGGGATTAAAGGTGGGAGCCACCACCGCCCAGACAAATGTTGAGTTTTTAAAGGAACCAAGTCACATATGCCATTTCCCCAACCTTGCAGCATTTTGCTACCATTTGCAAAGAAAGCTGAAGCACAGGGCAGGGCCTCCTGCAGCCCAGACATCTTCGACCTCACTATGAAGCCAAGACTGGCCTTGACTTCTGGTCCTTCGGCCTCCATCTCCTGAGGGTGGGGCTACGGGAATGTGCTGCCATACCATTTTATACCGTGCTGGTGAGAGGACCCAGGGATCTGTGCGTACTCTCCAAGTGTTCTGCCAACTGAGCTACACTCCCTGCCCACAACAGATTGAATTAAATTAATGATTTGAGACAGAGCCTCACTATGTAGCCCTGATTGACCCAGAACTCTGTATGTAGACCAGTCTGGCCTTGAACTTGGGGTGATTCTCCTGCCTCTGCCTCCCAAGCAGGCACATGCTACTACAGACTCTCAACGGTGTCTCCTGAAAGCCAGACAGAGCGCTAACCACTAAGGTCTTACTGAACACCGTGTGCTGGCACCAAGCTGCCCCAGCTTCTCAGCATTCAGGTGAGGGACTGGTCCTCTCAGGGTGGCACTGCACAAGGACAAAGTGCCCAGAAGTCTCAGTGGCCTGTCCTGATGGGAGGCCAGGGTGGGGGCTGCTGCCACCGTTTATGTGGGATGTAACACCACACTTCCTCTTACCTGACAAAACTGTGTTTTTCTTCTTGTAAAAGAATTGTGACCTTGGCTTTTCTTTGCAGTGCTGGGCAATGAACCCAGGACCTCAGACATGCTAAACAGGTTCTCTACCACTAAGCTACAGCCCCGGCTCCCTTTCTAGTTTTATTTTGAGATAGGGTTTTAGTAAGTTGCCCAGGCTGGCCTCAAACTTTTCATCTTTCTGCCTCAGCTCCTGAGCAGCTGGAATGGCAGGGCCTGTGCCACCAGACATGGCATAAATATTTATTTTCCTTTTTGGTTTTCTTTTTTCTCTGTATGTGTGTGTGTGTGTGTGACTGTATGCCATGTATGTGTACGTGCCTGTGGAGGCCAGAAGAAGGCGTCAGGTCTGGAGATGGAGTCACAAGCGGTTGTTAGCTGTCAGACTGGTGCTGGGAACAGAACTCGGGTACTGGCTCTCTCCTGCTGAGCCAGCCCTCCTGCCCCTGCTCTTTCCTTTCTGAGACAGAGGCTAGCCTGGAACTCACCACATGACCCAGGCCAGTCTGGCACCACGGCTGACCCTGCCTCTCCACTGGCCTGCCATAAATGCTATTTTCTTTGAGGTAAAGACACAGAGTTTCCCACCTGGCCAAGCCCTCACACAGTGGCTGCCTGCTGTGGCACCATAATCTTGCTCAGCAGTAAGAAGGAATCGGGATTTGTGTCCAGAATCTTTTGGGCCAACGGGGCTCCAGGCTGGAATGTGAGGCTCTATTTTAATTCACAGGACACAGGGAACCACCTATGAATTACTGGGAAACGTCCAAGTTTTCTCATCCCTTTGCTCTGGCTTCCCAACTTTCTCAGTTCTCTGCTGCCTCAGTAAGTCCCACCTGTGCCCTTGGAAACCAAGGTGCTTTTCTTCTCTCTGGGATCAGGGTCTGCTTCTTCCGGCTTGCCAGCCTTCACTTTTGATGGCCCTGCAGAGTCTGTAAAAGACACAGAGTCAGCAAAACACACCTCGAGCCAAAGCAGAGCAAGGCCCTGGTGACTCGGGACACAGCCTGCACCCCAATCTCTTGGCATCTTACCGTCTGTGGCACCCGCCTTTGACACACACTCGGCTGTCTTCGGTTTCTTTGTTTTCTGGAAGAAGAAAGAAGCCACTGAAGGCTGTGGTGGCTTCAGTGAGAACGTCCCCCAGAGGCTCAGTGACTGAACACTTGGTCCCTAGTGGGTGGTGCTGTTTGCAAGTTTGTGGAACCTTCAGTAAGTGGAGGTACATGAGTGGGGTGGGCTTTGAGGGTGTACAGCCTCACCCCACTTCCACTTCACTTTGCTTCCTGAGTGTGGATGGGGTGTGAGCTCTCAGTTTCCTGCTCTGCCGACACGCCTCCAGCTTGCTTGCCAAGCCTCCCAGCCATGATGGACTCTCCCTCTGGAGCTGTGCGCCACAATAAACCCTTCCTTCTGTAAGTTGCCTGGGTCACGGTGTTTTAGGACAGTGACAGAAGAGTAACTAACACAGAGGGCATGCTCTGAGGACACAGTGGCAGTGGGCCTGCCTAGGGCCCAGGGTCCTCTCTGAGGATGACCTGTCTGCAGGCAAGCAGCTCTGTCCCCACAAAGGGCTGAGTCCATTTAGAGCTACTGATCAATTTAGCTTCATATTCTCAAAAGTTTTAAATGCAGACAGGATACTTCAATGATGAGTCAATGTCAGAGGTTGGAGATGTTGCCCAGTGACAGAGCACTCACCTGGTGTTCATGAGGTCCTGAGTTTGGAGTCTGATTCCCAAATAGCACATACCACACAGAAAAGGTCAGTATTTCCAGTGACCATTGTATACAAAAGAGCAGTTAAATAGTAACATAGACTCTATGCACGAACATATACAGAAGCTCATTCACTCTGGGAACGCCATTTCAAAGCTGTCAGACTATGATGTTTGTTTAGCTACAAGGCTTGGGGGCTCGCACTGAGGAATGCTAGCTGATTTAAACTTTAGATTATTCTTGTTAGAGTTTTAGATGCTGGATTAGTATGATAGTTATTGGTCAGTCCAAAAGGCTGACCATTCTGAAATTCTATTCAATTACACAAATGATCAGAAGGACTGTTCACAACTTTCTTTAAAATGTCATTTCCATAAAAATCCAAAAAGGGGCACCAAAGAGATACAGCTGAGTCAGCAGAACACCTCATGTTTCAGCACAGGGTGGGCAAAGACTAGACCAACAAGTTCAAGGCCAGCCTGGGCTTCACGAGACCCTGTCTCTAAAAAGCAAAACAAAATAATGATTTTGGAAGGTCCTCGTCTCTTACAAACACCAAACAGAAGACCTTTCTTGGTGGTGGCCTTGAATGTGTGACATACACACAATCTGACTTAAAGCATCTGAAAAACACACACAGGAAACTGTTGCACACATGAAATCCACACGTGCAAATCTGTGAAGGCTGGCTGTCAGGACTAAGGCGACGTCTCGGTGCAGAAGCACCAGTTGCAGTAAGCCGGGCATGGCTGCACACGGCTGTCCCAGCACCGGCAGGTAGAGACTGGGATCCTGGGAAATTGCTAGTCAGTAAGCCAAGGCAAAATGGTGGTCTTCTGGCTTGTCTAACTGTAACAGAGCAGGGAGCAACGGAGGAGGGCACTTGACATTGTGCTCTTGCTTCTGAGTGTGTGCACACACTAAGTGTTCACACACCCCAACAGAACCGAGGCAGATGCTAGTTCTTAGCCCTCTGTTGCGGCTGAGCTGTGTCAAAAGCTGGAGGCATGCAGAGGCACTAAGCCTTGTGTGCAGGTAAGAATATTTGGGAAATATTTTGTATCTTGGTAGCAGTAGCTAAGCATGTTCAGGGCCTCTGCTGAGGAGGTGGCAGAGGGGATCTAGTCCCACTGGGCTCTGCAGGACTTGGCAGGAAGCCTATGCCGGGACAGTCACTCAGGGAGAACAGCCAGGGCTCCGTGCGGCTCTGTGGCTGCTGCTTTCAGTACACAATGCCCCTCTTTGTGTTTGAAAAAGACCGACCGAGGACAGCAAGGATGAGCAAGCATGTCTTTCAGTTGCTGTCTCTTGTCAAAGACACTCCAGGCTTCACTATGCTCTGATGATGGTAAGTGCAGAGTGATTTAGAAAAAAGTAATTTACTGAATTTAAAATTTAGTAATTTAGAATTAACATATACACACATACACATGCACACGCACATATAAATGTTTGATTTTTTTAACCTCCATACTCAGCTTAAATGACCCAGTGACCCTCAGTATTTCTCAGGAATGCTGTTACCATCTTGTAAACAGTTGCACAGAGCATTTCTGTGGCATCTACTTTCAGAGTTGCCCACAATTCCTAACGTTAGGGAACATTACACGCACCATTTTCTAAGACAATAAAGGAGGAAATGAGAATGCATTTGGCTTCTCCTGAGAGTCTGTCCCATGTGTGACCATCAGCCTTTTAAGCCTCACAACAGTGAAGGACTATCACACGTAGGTGATGTGATTCTGCCCGCTCTTCTATGACTAAATTGCATGAGCAAAGCTCGGAAGCCCCTTCCATCACCGCGGCCCTATCCCGTGGACGATGCCAGCAGCTGTGGGCAGCTTACAGCCAGCACTCCCCTCCTGTGCGTCCTTACACTGCCCACTGTCACAGTCCAACACGCCAGCATTCACCCTTGTTTCGGTTTCAGTGCTGGGATCAAACCCAGGACTCTGCACAAGAGGCAGGTGTTCACCACCGGGCCACACCTGGCCCTTGGGTCTCCAAACTGGCCTCCAACTCTCCCTCCTGACTCTACCTTAGGAGGATGGAATTACAGGTGTGCCACATCTAGATTTCCACTTCAGTAAAAACAAAGGTTAGGCCCAAGTTTTCCTTGAGCCTAAACTTTCCATTAAAAAAAAAATTACAGCCCCAATGAATGCCATTGCTTTGTATGCCAACTAAAAAACCCTTCAGCACCTCCTTCCGCAAGCCTCACCGCAGGTGCCGAGGACGGGGATCTTCAGATTTGCTGGGATGATGGTGGCTTCGCCTTTGCAATTACGGAAACGGAGTATGAGTCCTCCTATTTCTGTTTCTTTACTGGGGACAGAACCTAGGGCTCCAGGCTCTACTACTGAGTCACAGCTGCAGTCCATGCGTACTCTTTTAAAACCAACGACTCTCCTTTCCTGAGGGTTCACTAATGCCAAACTCTGTGCAAGTGCTTGACAGGTGCCATTTTAAAATCTCCCCTACACCATCATGCCCTGAGCAGATGAAGGCCAACGGAGCCAAGCCCCGAATCTGTTTCTAGAGGCTAGGCCTCCTGGGTTGACAAAACTCAGGCATGGACCCCGTCCCCCCAAGCTCTGCTAAGGCAGTAGAATAGCTTGCAATGGGCCCTGGGGCAGAGGTGAAGCCCCTCATTACCTTCTCCAGCTTGGCCCGCAGCCGCCTTTCCTCCATCCTCTTCTTCAGCAACTCCACGTCCTCCTTGGTGCCATTGAGCACAATGACGTCATCCTCCTGGAAGGCAGCCCCACACTGGAAGGCAAAAAGGAAAGTCGGTTAGCTCGGGAGGGGAGGTATGGGGGCCCTGCTCTTCACTCAGCGCTGGCCTCCAGCCCCTGCTGCTCCTGCTGCGTCTCAGACCAGCCGCTCTCAGTGCTGGCCTGAGAGGTCCATGTGCCCAGAACATCATAGCCTGGCTGCCCCACCCTGGAGGGTTCCAACACAGGTAACGGATAGGGTGGCTCACAGACCAGACTTTGTACACACTGGTCCGTGCTGGACATCTGTGATCTCTGACTAACCGGCCTGGGCAGAGACCCTGAGCGTGGGACCACCCGAGGTTGTTGCACTGTGTTGCTGGGGGCGGTGGTCACTCTGTGTGAGCCCTCCCATCCTTCCCCTACCACACTGCTGTGTACCCACAGCACACCACGGCAACAGGCCTAGCTGGGAGCACAGGTATCTGCTAACTTCCAACAGTCTTTCCAGAACATTCTAAGTGTAAGGTTGACTCCAGACACATCTTGCAGGACAAGACGGAGCCGTGTCCTAGTGTCTCGATGGCGTCCTGGAGGCAGGGACAGACACTTGTTGGTGTCCACACTCAGCTCTGCCTGATGCACACATGCTCACATTCACAGACCATAACCAAGCGAGCTACCTCCTCAGAGGGGCCGGGCCGCCTGCAAGCACCCCATCAAGGCTCCTGTGGAGGTCCTAGGCTCAGTGTCAGCACACGGCAGGAAGAGGGATTGCAGAGAGAGCAAGGCTCTCCTCCGTGAACTGAGGTTTTGCTCCAGGGTCTCCAGGTCCCCTTGATTTAGGCTCCACCTCTCCTCAGTCCTCCTCAGGGGTGGAGGTCTAACCCCAGGAAAGAGACCCTCAGGGACACCACACAGTCTGGAGACAATCTGGCTGTCACATCTGGGAAGAGATGTCACTGCCAAGCTCTGTAAAAAAGCTAATAAACATCCTGCCCCAGGTCTCTGGCACCCCACCTTTCAGGTCAGGGTCTGCTCCTTTTACAGGGTTTCCCTGAGGACTGCTGCTGATTGAAGACATTTGCTTTGACTCACAGAGCTCTGAGGAATGACCTGAGGGAGGAGAGGTACCCTCTGAAGTGAAGGGCTTTCATTCTCAGCCACCATGACAGGCAGGGAGGAGGGGAGGAACAGCCTCTGGGCAGGTGGTCCCATGGGAGTCCTGGGCCAGGGGACACTTGGTGGACAATCCCTCCATGGGGGAGGGAGGCCTTTTCCTTGGAGAGGAATGGAAAGGGATCTTTCTGGAACTGAGTGAGGTGGGAAGGAAAGCCCAAGGGACATGGAGGTGCACTCCGGTGTAAATAAGCCTCCTGAGGGCCTCGCTGCAGAGTGCAGGAGGCGGGACCCTTAGAGCAGGATCATGCCTCCCTGCTGGGATCTCAGCTGCTGTTTCTTTCCTGAGGCACCTTGACATCCCTGCTTCTTATTCTTGTTTTTAACACCAGAGGAGACACTGCCAATGTATTTCACAATTGAAAAGCTTGGCAAAAACTTGTCAATTAAAAAAGATTGAACTTGAATTTTGTGACGATGGAATTTGCAGTCAAGGAATAAGACTGCCATGCCTTAGGGTTTCTACTGCCATGATAAACAGCATGTCCAAGAGCAACCTGTGAGCAAAGAGGTTATTTCTACTCACAACATTCAGGTTGCACTCCACCACTGAGGGAAGTTAGGGCAGGACCCTGCAGGCAGGAACTGAAGCAGAGGTGGTGGAGGAAGCTGCTTCTTGCTGCTCAGCCTGCTTCCTTCTACCACCCAGGACCACCTGCGGGGGTGGGGGACACACACAGGGACAGGGACATTACCCCCAGGGAACTGGGCCCTTCCACAGCAAACACCAATCAAGAAAAAGCCTCCCAGGCTCGGGCCAATCTTACCGAGGCACTGTGTCAACTGAGGTCTCCTCCTCTCCGGTGAGCCTAGGTTTGTGTCAAGGGGACACAACCCAATCATCAGCACAGGTGGCTTGATACCCTGACCAGAGGACCCCAGAATCCACCAGGAGTGAATGTCACCACCAGGGGTCAGGGCACTGCTCTCCTGACCACTCTGTGCACTCGGGATGGGTGTAGAGAAAAGGAGCCCAGAACTGGAAAGAGGCTGAGCCTTAAAACCTGGGTAGTTTTTGCCCCTTGAAACAGGATGTCACTAAGTAGCTCTGACTAGGCTTGAACTCTCTGTGTAGACCAGGCTCGGCCTCAAGCTTGTGCTCATCCTCCTGGGAACTCAGGGTGACTTTCCTTGCCTATCCCTGCACCCCTGCTCTTTCCTCTATGGTGCTGGTAGCAACATCCTTTGGATAGAATCATGGCTGTGGCCTGATTCAGCATACACGCATACCCAGCACTGATATATTTTGATAACTAAATAAGTCACTGACTAGGAATTTGGGGCTGGAGAATATGCTGTATAAACTAGATGTGCAGGACCCATAAGAAGGTGACCACTGAACTTTGTAAGGCGAGATGGTACTTCAGGTTCCTGATTCACAGAAGAAACTGCCAGACATTCTACAGGACATGGGGAGAAGTGACTGACAAACTTTACCAGAATGGGTGGAACAGTCCTTAAAATTTCCTGCTTCACTGAAAGTTATGCCAGAGACTCTAGGCCTGTAGGCTGAAGATGGATGCCCCAATGTTACAGAAGAACTTTGGGTGACTGTCCAGGCAGTCAGGTGTCTCTGTCATTTCTAGAGTTTTGGAAGTTACTTGCAATGCACTTTTTATTTACTTAAATAATATTTACATCCCTCTGGGGTCTTTGATGGAGCTGAAGACTAGATAGTTATAATTATAGTTTTCTTTAGTTATGATAAAAGATAAATTAGATATGAAACTTTAGACTCACTAAGATAGGATAGAATATTTTCTTTAATTTTGCCAAATACAAATAGACTATAATTCTTACTTGATAACTGTTTTGTTATATATAATTTTACTATATTAAAGTTATAACCTTACTTTTTGATTAGACAGAAAAGGGGGAGTGCTGTGGGATGTCTTTCTGTATGCTGTGAATATGTGTGGCTCCCATTAGATAATAAATAAAGCTGTTTCGGCCTATGGCAAGAAAGCTTACAACCAGGCAGGAAATCCAAGCAGAGATACAGAGAGAAGGGCGGAGTCGGGAGAGACACCAGGCTGCTACTGAAGGAGTAACAAGATGCCAGCAGACTGGCAGTGCCATGGCCACACAGCAAAATATAGATGAATAGGAATAAGTTAGCTTAAGATGAAAGTTAGCTAGCCAGAAGCTGAAGCCACAGGCCATACAGTTTATAATTAATATAAGGCTTAGAGTGATTATTTTATAAGCATCTGTGGGACTATGGGGCTGGGTAGAACTGGGGAAATTTCCGGCTACAAATGGCTCAGTGGTTAAGGGTGCTTACTGCTCTTGCTAAAGACCCAGGTTTAGTCCCCAGCACCCATATGGTGGCTCATCACCTGTAACTCCAATCCAGGGAGTCTGACAGTCTCTTCTGACCTTGTGGGTACCTGCATGCAAGTGGTACACACAAACTCATTCAGGGGCGCGCGCACACACACACACACACACACGCGCGCGCGCCGCGGAAGTAATAAACCCTTTTTTAAAAAATGAGCTATCTTAACCCTATCATCCCAGCACTAAGGAGACTGAGACAGAACTACCATGAGTTGAGTTCAGGGCCAGTCTGGGCCACACAGAGCATTTTAGGCCAATGCAGACACAGCAAAACCAGCCTCAGAAGTAAAAACAAACAAAATGAAGCACTTTTCCTCCAAAACACTCCAAAGACCCATTAACTGACATTAACTGCTTGGGCCTAAACTAGGTAGGACGGTCCCTCAAGACTTGGAGGTCCCCTCTAGGCCACATGACCAAGTCTGGCTTGGGGGTGGGGGGGTGTCCTTACACCTGACCCTGGGATGTTGGGGATTGGTTCATCCTAAGGGGCAAGTAAGACAAACCAAGGAAGCAGCCAGCCATGGCAGCACCAGCTCCTCTCCATGGAGGAAGATCTAGGGACACCTTTGGTGGAGGAAGAGCATACTGATGCACAGGCAGAGATGGCTCATGGGAACTGATCCACATTTTGTTATTAACAACTTTTTCTCATTTCCTTTCATTCAGACAGGCTCTCACTCTAGGCCAGGTTAGTTGAGAACTACATAATTTAAGCTGGCCTGAACTCATGGAAATTCTCCTACCTCGGTCTTCCAAGTGCTGGGATGACAGGCAAGAACTACTGTGCTCAGATCTTAAATCTCACTTGTAGCCCAGGCTAGCCTTCACCATTAAGTTGTGTGCACCATTTCTGGCTGCTCTTTCAAGATTCTTGCTAGATAGAAGCAGAAACTCAACAAGTGGAAGCCGAGACCCCTACACGCACAAGCTGGACTTGCTCTCCCTCCTCAAAGGCTTGATGGGAGCTAGGCCTGAAGTTCACAGAGACTCTGCTAGCTACCCCACCTAGACCTCTTTCTATAGTAGCTGTGACAGCTGTTCCACAAAACACTCTTGTGCCTCAGGGTCGCTTCTCCAGCAGGTGAAGACACCACCCACCCACCCTGCCATCGTAGGAATCTAGAAACAGGGGGGACAAGTCTCCTGTGCTGCCCTTTCCCCTCCCATGTTCTGTTCTGTGGTGGAAGCCTGCACCTGATGCACCACATGAGCACTCTATCCAGGTATGTGTGGAGTGTGGTGACCCAATCCTCTGCACTGCTCTCCTGAAAACAGGTATGTCAGGCCAGTGAGATGGCTCAGCAGGTAGACACTTGCTGCCAAACCCTCATGGCCTGAGCATAATCCCTGGAACCACAAGGTGGAAGAACTGACCTTTGCAAACTGTCCTCTGCCCTCCACTCATGCTCAGTGGCAGGTGGGCGCACACACACACACACACACACGTGTGTACATGTGTACACACACACACACACACACACACACACACACAGACACGTAGTAATAAACAAGTTAATGAATGAATGGGACAAATTAGATCTATCCAGAGTAAACCTAAATATAGGCAAGTGTCAGAAAAACCAGCCTCCTGTCTTACAGAGAATATTTTGTTGTTTTGTTTTTGTTTTTGTTTTTGGGACAGTGTCTATGTAGCCTTGGCTGGCCTGGAGTTAACTATGTATGTTAACTGGGAATTCAGAGATCCACCTGCCTCAGTCTCCCACGTGCAGAATCTGGGATTAAAGCTCGTGCTACCACGCCTGGTTTTGAAGAGCATTTTAGGACTTGCCCCATCTCACAAAAACATCAGCCCAGGTAGCAGCTTTCCGAGTTTGAGGGTTGACGATCTCTGCCTGGTACAGAGCGTGATGTCCAGAGTGAGAGGGCCAGCCGCTGCTTCAGAGTCCAGAGGCTGCACACTGCTCTGGGCTGCGGCTCTGTCAGCACCTTGTATTGCTTTACGTCTACTCCCCCGGCCCTTTTTTCTTTTCCTGGCAGGTGTACAATCCTGAATAATTCTCAGGGATCAAATACAGAAGCTATTTTTTTTTGTTTTTGTTTTTAACCAACGTGTCAGAATCAACAAGAATACAAGTCCCTAGGGATGCAAAGGCAAGCCAGCCTGCCAGGTAACTCTGAGAAGCAGGAGCGGCAGCCATCGGAGTCGGTCAGAAGAAAGGTGGCTGGACCGGCACCTGCCCGGGTTCCCTCCAGAAACAGAACTGCACCTGGTGAGTGTGTCTCTAACAGCATGGGAGGGACGGTGGACAGCAGGGCAAGCAGGTGCAAGCTCTGAAGGAAGCAGGGCTTTCTCAGCTGCCTGTGACTGTAAACACAGTAACAGTGATGGATGGCAGGCAGGCATCGTTTTCCCCCCTCAAAAAACAGTTCCATGGTTTCTGGCTGCAAGCCAAAGAAAATCATGGTGGGCTATTTCCACAGCAAGTGACAGATGACATTTCACAGGTGTTAACAAGCCACCGGGTACGAACCCTGATTTAGGTAAGTCAGCCTGGAGGCCACGGCCACAGCCTCCGTTCTTACTGGTGGCAGTACTGAAAATGAACTGGTAGCTGTGCTTGTTCTGAGTGGACACCTCAACAGGAGCACACCTCTGCTGACACATGGCTGAACCAGTACACAGGGCTTAGGTGTAAGAACACTGTGAACGAGACACCCACTTTATGGGCAGTTGAACAGTCTGTGGGTTCAAAAAGCCCAACTAACACATGTGACTATAAAAACTGATGTTCAGGGTGTTGTGGACACTGTCCTGAGCCCAAGGACGACAAAGGCAACAGAAGAGAATCTACCCTGTTATGGTCACAGGGACTTGAGTCACCATGCTTAGAAAGTAGCTCCGAGGGAACTCTGTCACACCGGGTCTGGGACCAATCAAGTACCAGGCTGGCAACCATCACAGAGTGTGGAGAAGGAGAATGGACACTTGTAGCACTCAGCTACCCTGGCTCTGCAGCGTATCCTCAGCCTTCAGGTTGAGCACCAGGCTCTCAGTGTGAGACATGAAATAATGAGCTGGGCTTGGAAGTAAAGCTTGAGGAAACTCTCTGAATGCTGCTGATCAAAAGAATAGACTTCTCAAAAGCAGCAACAAAATACTAAATGGAAGCAGTGGACAGGCTGGGGCTGAGACAGGGGCATCTGGGCAGGTTGCAGTCAGGCCCCAGTGTCAGCTGGGCTGAGGACAAGGGGGAAGGCGAAAAGAAAAGCCAGCTTGCTCTCGCTCACCTACAAAAGGCAGAAAACCACTTAGGCCAGGGAGCACACTGAAGGACCCCGGGCTATCCCGGGGCCTGTCTGCATTTAATTCTGTAAATGGCTGAAAGAGCAGTCCCTGGGGCTTGGCTACAGCAAGAGGTTTATGGGGCACACTTGCCAACACAGGCAGCGGAGAACCAAACAGTTCCTCAGCCGCCTTCCTGGCAAAGGCTACCATACCAGTAGCAGCACACCAAGGTGTATTGTGGACCTTGTTCAAAATTCCTAAGCTTTAGCTGGGTGTGGTGACAATGCCCTTAATCCCACCCAGTACAGATCTCTGTGAGTTCAAGGCCAGCCTGGTCTACATTGTAAGTTCCAGGACAGCCAGAGCTACATGGTAAGACTATGTCTCCAAAACACCAAACCAAAGTGAAAAATAAGTAAAAGTCTAAAATGACAAAACTAAGAGTTCTAAGTGTTGCGAGGCTTGCCCTGCGTCTCCTTCAGCAGGGACCTCCTTCCTGGTCGATTTCTATGCTGGGGCGGGGCTATTTATTTTGGGGAGCAGACATGAAATGATGAGGCATCAGAGTGCCATGCTTAGGAAGGTAGACCTTGCATGCTTTATAAATTCTTGCAAAAGAGACCCTAAGGTTTGATGCTTTGTGGCAATTAGATGTTGACTGGGTCTGTGACCCAGCATCCAGAGCAGTGGCTGCTTTGTATTTCAAAGCATGTTAGGTGGTAAGAAACTACAGTGAAAATGTGGTATTTAAAATGTCCCCAACAGACAGAGCTCTCAAGGCTGTGAAACTTGAGAGCCCGAGAGTAGCTCAAAGCTGGTCTGCCTGCTCCCAAGTCACAACCCAGGAAAATAGCTATGCAAGTCCATTCGCCATGAGAATATGACTTCTGTGGCACTCAAGTATCAGGATTCACAAACAGCAAGACCTCCTGACGGCACAGCCTGACACCTTGCCTGGACAGCTTGCCTCTCTAGCAGTCCTCCATTAATGCGCCTTCACGTCTGCTGCAGCTGCTCACGTACCTACTGTGGCTCTAGACAAGTCACCACGTTGGCATCCAGAGACATCACTACCCACCTTGATTTAATCCCTAAAAACAATTCATCAGCTCATTCAACAGGCTTACCTTTGTAACCACAAACTCTCTTAATTTGTCCTTTAAATCCTTTATGGGAAGATTCGGACTCAGTGTAATGGGGAAAGGCGTAAATACAGGGGAATAACTCATGAGTGTGTGCTCAGCAGTGACAGTCATCAGGGACACACAGTGAGACCGCAGGGAATTGCCCCTTGCAAGCCAATTAGGATGGTTACCATGGAAATGGAGTACTGACAACGTGCAGTGTGGCCAACTCTCCTACCTGCAGCTGTACTGACATGGAAAAGCCCAGGGTGCAGCTATACACCCAACATGCGAGGCAGTCATTTCACTATCCCACATTCATTTGAGACAGACAAAAACACCTGTCTTCTCAAAGACTGACTCGTGCACAATGCTTACAGCATCTTTGTAATAATGAGAAGCTGAAAATGGCATAGGAGTCCATCAACAGCTGAACAAATAAATTGTGCACAACTATGGGATGGAGTGTCACTCAGCAATGAACAAGAACGAATGAAAACCACAATGAGGAGGCAGACTCTCCGTCCGGATCATTATCTTAACTAGGAAAAGCCCCCCCCCCCCACAAGAATCCATTGCACGAGTCCACTTACAGCACCTCACAGACTCCAGGGACATAGAAACACACAAATGGGGTAGAAAGACAGATGGCTTTCTGGGGCATACGGAAACATAGGGGTGAAACTTGCCCTGATGTGGTAATAGTTTCAGAGTGCACACCCATAAAAAAATGATCAGATTACACACAGGTGTGCTGCAGGCACCTGAAGGTCAGTGACTTGGGAGCCTGAGGCAGGAGGATGGCTTAAATCCATGAGTTCAAGGTCATCTTGGATAACATAACAAACCCATCAAAAAGACAGAAAGAAGGAACCCAATAAACCAAGGTCTGTTCAAATGGCATTCTCCATCTGTCCATCTACCTACCTAGCCATCTATGGATCATTTGAACTTGCTGTGTAGCCAAGGATGACCCTGAACTTCTGCCCTCCCTGTCCCCACCCTTCAGTGCAGAGATAACAGACATGTAACACCACACCTGGTGCTGTGCTGCGGATGAAGCCCTGGGCCTCATGTATGCCAGGCAGACACTCTGCCCACTGAGCGGCATCCCTAGCCCCAAGTGTTGGACTTAGGAACATTCGGTTAATGTGCTTCAGGAGAGTTGGGGGGAGCATTCCCTGACTCAAATGTCCTCTGTTGTTCCTGTAGGAAACTGAAAGGAAACCATTTCAAGCTATGGTGGTGAGAAGACACTGAGAGCTCAAAAGCATGAGCCAGCTCCGGACCACAAAGGCTGGACTTGTGGCATGTGGAGTGATCTGCGCCTTCATCTTTCTTTACTCCCGGAACCCCGGTTCCGAGGAGGCTGAGGAGGAGCCCATCCACCTGGCTGTGGTGGAATGTGGCTTCTATCCAGATGAATTGTGCTCAGCTTTATTTGAAGGGAAAAAGGCAGCCCCCCAAATTGCACAATTCTGCAAACCCCCTTACAATTCTGAAATACTCGCTCTTTTGCGCACATCCAGAAACTGTTCCAGGATGGCCCGGGGGCTGCATTTCATAACCAGACCCCTGTCTGCAGAAGAGGGGAACTTCTCTTTGGCCTTTGTTATAAGTGTTCATAAGGAGCTGGCCATGTTTGTACGGCTTCTCAGAGCGATTTACGCTCCTCAGAATGTCTACTGTGTCCACATTGATGAAAAGGCCCCAAAGAAGTTTAAGAGTGCCATGCAAACCTTCGTAAACTGTTTTGAAAACGTCTTTATTTCATCAAAGACACAGAAGACGGCTCATGATGGCCCTAAGAGGCTGCAGGCAGAGATTAACTGCATGAGAGACCTCGTCCACTCCACACTTGAGTGGCAATATGTTATGAATCTCTGTGGACAGGAATTCCCAATCAAAACCAACAAAGAGCTCATCCAGTACATCAGAACCAAGTGGAGGGGTAAAAACATCACTCCTATGATGACCCCACTCCCAAACACCAAACCCAAGACAGGCCAAAGGCCCCCTGAGCCTAACCCTGAAGAAAATACCTACGTATCTCCAAGTACAAGGTTCAAACAAAAACCACCCCATAACCTAACGGTTTACTCAGGAAGTGCTTACTATGCACTTACGAGAAAGTTTGTAGGGTTCATCCTGACTGATCCCCGTGCAAAAGACATGCTCCAGTGGTCCAAAGACATCCACAGCCCAGAGCAGCACTACTGGGCGACCCTGAACCAGCTGAAAGGTAGGCTAACCCTGCAGTGTGGGTGCCGCTCAGGGAAGAAGGCAGCAGGGCTGACTCTTTCCTGTCTTGCTGTGGCTTCCTACAGGGCCTGCATCTCACAAGGCCTCCACCCGGAGACCAGGGCGGCCTCCACCCGGAGACCAGGGCGGCCTCCACCCGGAGACCAGGGCGGCCTCCACCCGGAGACCAGGGCGGCCTCCACCCGGAGACCAGGGCGGCCTCTGGTTCTAGGGGTGGAGTTAGGGAGACAGTCCTGTCATGCTCCCATCGACATGGCTCATTTTGTGTCCTCCAGTAGAACCTTCTGGATATCTTGGGCATAAATGTTTGGAAAAATCTGCACTGTTTTTCATTCACTTGGTAATGTTACTGGATAGTCACTACAGCCCAGTGTTGTGCTAAGGGCTCACATCTGTCAGTCACAGTTCTTGGGAGGCTGAGGCAGGGGGCTGCTGCACAATACAGCCTGGGCTACAGAGTGAGTTCGTAACTAGAAAATAGAAAAAGAACCCTTCCACCCCCCGCCAAATGTGAAGACTAATGTCTGTGGCAACCCTACCACTTATGAGGGAACTCTGGTGACATCCTTTAACTGGATTTATTAAATCACATTCGAGAAAGGCCAGCTGGTTCCTTCAAAGAGTGCTACTTCAAGCATGGCTGCCTACGTCCATCAGTAGATAACACTCTTGCAAACAGGGACCTGGCAGAAATGGTCTTGGACCATTCTATGATCTTTCATACCTACTGCAGCAAGCTCTGTTCTCACATCACCTACAAGGGCTGTTAGAGGAAAACGGCCCAGAGCCACAGCACAGTCCTGAGGGCACTTTACACACATCCAGTGAGTTCTGAGAGACACTCTCAAAGGGCGGAAAATGCAGTGCAGGGACACTGGCCCTGGTCAGCACAATGCCCTGACGTGCACTGCACAGGTTTTTCCTCACAGTGACCTCATCCCAGGAAGGGCAGAGGCAGTGCAGAGCTGATACCACACAGCTGGAGGTGCGCTCTGCAGTGTACCCTGATTTTGTCTCTCCCTCAGACGCTCCGGGTGCCACACCAGATGCTGTCTGGGAAGGAAACATTCGAGCCACTAAACGGAGAATGGAGGAAGGAGATGGTCACAAGGGATGTACAGGTAAAGACTCAAACAGCAGCCTGCATCTGGAGTGCTGGAATTAAAGATTTGTGCCATCATGTCTGGTTCACGCAGGGCACAGGGCACCCAAGCTCTGGGGTAGTTCTTGCTGCAGAAGTGCCTTTCTAGTTTGCTCTGGTAGATTCTCCCCCAGGAACCACGAATTCTCCCTCTTTCTGGTGTCCCAGAGGTCTGAGTCTCAGAAGGAAAGGAGTGTGGACAGCTTTGAGGGAATCATTACTTACTGCATAATGCTAAGGAGTGCACAGATGTCAGTGAACAGTTAGTGCAGAGTCCACAGAAGTGGGGTGTGTGCTCATCTTGGGGTACAAGAACACTTTTTTGTAAAGGTAGATACTGTAATTCAGTAAGGAGCTAGTGACAGCCACCATGGCCCTTCTCCCTTTCTCTCTCTCTCACACACAGACCCCCATCCTCCTGAGCTACACCACCAGACCCTTGTTCATCTTTTTCTTTTGACACAGTGGTTTGCTGTGTAGCTAGACTAGCCTTAAACTCATGATTCTCCTGCCTCAGCCTCCAAGTGCTGTGATGATAGGTGTGAGTGGCCACACTCTGCAGCTTTCAGATTCTGACGCCATGACCTTTCAGGCTTCTCCTTGGCTGTGGGTAGTTCCACAGGAAGGTCTAATATAGGAAGTCATCAACTATCTTTATTAGTTCTTCCGAGTAAAGCTTGGTACAAGTGTAAGTAATTAAAATAGGAGTTAGATCCAGGGCCCAGTAGGTCCAGACTGGCCTGGTACTAACTCTGTCCTCAAACTCATGGCAATCCTCCTGCCTCAGCCCCCCAAGTGTTATGACTTACAGGCAGGAGCCTCCATGCTCCTGGGCACTATTTATTCTAAATAGCAGCACTATTTAGTGGCTCTTGCCATTTAGAAAGTCCCCCAAATACTAGCCCAAAGGTGAAATTCCCTTCCTTATAAACTCAAAATCCAGCCTTGGAGAACAAAGCCCCACCCATAAGGAAGCCATGCTTCTCTAGAGCTGTCCCTGTGGGGTTAAGAAGACTGCTAACGGTTACGGGATGCTACTTATCTTGAACTCTGTGCAGGAGCCCCCCAGCCGACACTTGTGGAAGCATGCACCACTTACTTGCACCGGGATTGAACTGGTTGGGGAGTGGGCAGCTAAATTTCTGTTTCTTTCCGCAGGTCACGATGCCCAAGACACCTGTGTCTACGGCCTGGGAGACCTGCCTTGGCTCATCCAATCGCCGGCTCTGTTTGCCAAGTTTGAGCCGTCGACAGACCCACTGGTGGTGGCATGCCTCGAGAGGCAGCACAGACTCAAAGCCCTACGGCAGGCGGAAGTCCCCACAGAGCCACACTGGCAATTTCCCCGGGAAACCCGCTTCAGCAGTCAACCCCACCACTAAGGGACACTTTCGCCAGGCACCGTTTCAACTCCTGGATGCGAATTAGTTCCAACAGGAACGCAGACACGTGCTCCTGGCCAGACTTTACTCCTGACCCTAGGCAAGAGAGATCACAAGAGGAAAATGACGGGGCTGTGGCTGGGGACCGGAAATCAACACCCGGAAGGCCCAGTGCTTCAGTGAGCAACTGCTTAAGGCCGGATCTCTCCACCCGATGAACCCAGTTCACGGTGGAGTAACCACCAGGCGGCCTTGTTCTGAGGGCCTGGAGACCCTGTGTAAGAGGCACTAGGACAGAACAAAGCCCCACCCACAAGGAAGCCATGCTTCTCTAGAGCTGTCCCTGTGGGGTTAAGAAAAGCACAACTTCGTTCTAGAAAATTCCAGGAAAACATCTAGGGGATTCCTTCTCTGGGTAAAATGAATTATGCCACAGTAGGAACACAGCTTAAGAGGGCTGCCTGAAGTCTGTGTAGTCTTGGTCTGTCATCTTCTTCTTCTTCCTGCCATGTTGGATGGCCCACACCGGCACATACCATCACCACAGAAGAATGTGGAGAGATGGAGAAAGCCACTCTTGACTTTTAGTTAGTTTTTAAAGTTAGTTAATTCGTGTGACAAACAGCCAAAAACCTGGCTTAGCCATCCTGGTGGCAGATGCAGATCCTCCCGTCCAAGTCCCCAACTCTTCTTCTGTCACTGTTAGGCGACACTTATATATACACTCCTCCTCACATATATACAGCGTCCTCGGCGGCGGCGGCATAAAGACTGACATGCTCCACTACTTTATGTGTCTGAATGCTTGGCCTGTATGTGTAGGTGTGTACTACATGTCCATGGAAGTCAGCAGGTGTTGGCTCCCCTGGAACTGGAGTTACAAATGGTTGCCAGACACCACGTGGTGCAGGGAATTGAACTCAGGTCCTCTGCAAGAACAACCAATGCTTTTAACCACTGAGCCTTCTCTCCAGCCTGGAAATACTTTTTTTTTTTTTTTAAGTAGGAGCCCAGGAAAGGAAACTAACACACACTATAAAAGTCAAATTTCAGCACCGTAAGTCAACTAAGGCTTTCCCCACATAGACATGAGATCACATCCGGTGATGTGGCCTGGAAAGCTGAGAATAGAATGAGAGATCTTTTTATTTATGTACTTATTTATGTATTTATTTATTACATATACAGTGTTCTGTCTGCATGTATGTCTGCAGGCCAGAAGAGGGCGCGCGAGATCTCATTACAGATGTTTGTGAGCTACCATGGTGGTTGCTGGGAATTGAACTCAGGACCTCTGGAAGAGCAACTAGTGCTTTTAACCACTGAGCCATCTCTCCAGCCCAGAATGAGAGATCTTAAAGGCAGATACTATAAATCAACTTTAAGTAACATATGTAAGATTAAAGTAGTCTTGGTTTAGGCCAACATTTCCCTTTACTGTACACTGAAAATGTTAAGCTATCCTTGACCTCTTAGATGACAATGTGCTTATTACAAGACATGAAACACACTGTAGGAATACAACTGGTATTCTGGCTAGTCATCTGGTTACTGGATAAACCAAACCACAGCCCCTGCTCTTCTCTGGGTGCTATTCTCTGAAGGCAAAGTGAACACCATGTTATGCAGTGTGACCAAAGTGAGTTGGAACTTCTGAGTGTTTATTTTAGTATTACTGTGTGTGTGTCAGACTCCTTTTTCGCAGGCTCCTTGAAGTGAGGTGTCATCGTGTGACTGGGTTCTAACCAGTGGAATATGAGATGCTCCAGGGACAATTTGCAGGCTGATCCATAAAAACTTCCCAAGGGAGACTCTCTTTCCTTCTCTCAAGTCAAGGAAGGATAGGAGGGGAGAACTGCCTAGCTAGGATTCTCTGCTGGGCACTTGGTACCTAAGAATGGTTCCCGCAGTGATCCAGCCTTCTACCAATGTACTCATTAGCAAACTTGAGAAACTTCACACTTGAAGTTTGGTCCCTGTTAACAACCTGACTCCATTTACTGCCTTACTTACTTCTTGTCTGGAATGTTTGGATCTAAAGGAAAGGCTCCGAGCTCTTCTAACTTCTTCACTTTACACATTGGACGTTGGGGCCCAGAGAGATGCTGTTTTCCCAGGCCAAACTGATACATGCCAGGCTCCCAATACTAACACACCACAGGGATGTTCCTCAAAGTTCCCCAGTTGGCAAATCAGTCCCCAGTGTGGCAGCGCCAGGAGGCAGGACCTGGTGGCAGGTGTTTGGTCACAGAGCCTCAGGAAGTAATTAATGCTAATGTCATGGGTGAGTGTTCCTTATAAAGGACAAGGTCTTTCCACACACTGGAGCATAGCCTTGTTTCAAACAGAGGATCTGGTAGAGTGTCCAAGGGGGAGGGGTCCTGGCTGAGAAGCACTGAGCGGGGGAGGGGCAGGATTTCTGTCGGCAGGAAAGGAGCTTTGCTGACACCTGATGCTCAAGACATTTGAACCCAGGCTTGTTCATGATGCTCACCCTGACCCTCACCATCACACACATACCCAGGTCAACACCCTCCACATTAAGACACGGAGTACTGCGCCCTTGTGGGCACTGGCACCTTGCCTGGACTTCCCAGCCTCCAGAATGTCGAGCGGATTTTTATTCTTTATGAAGAGCCAGGTCTCAGTGTCAGTCTCTAACAGCACAAGGCAGACGAGGGTAGGGGGGATAAACGGGAGTCCCGCCTCATGGGCGTGGCCTGTCCAGCGCTGTGATGTTCTATCATCTACAGTCTTGCAGATTAAACTGTGCCCCACCCCACTGTTGAAGTCCAAGCCAGAAGCACATGATGCACCTTCTCCAGACACTGTCACTCATACATACCACCAGCTGCATTAGGCAGGTAACTCCCAAGGACGTCACTTTTAAAAAAGAAAGCCTGATGTGACACTTGTACATGCCATGAAGACGAGTCAGCCACAGTCTAGCACCCCTGACTTCATCACCCATCAGCTCCCGGAATGCTGCACAGGAGGGATCACTCAGGGCTTTTGCGGAGAGTGCACTTTAATCCGAAGAACATCTGGACCCACTTCAAGGTGGCTTTCTACCATCTTAGACTAAGATCCACGAACGCCAAGGTGCCACCCCTCCCCCAGTTCCATCTATGCTCCTGTCCTTCCCTGGCCACACTTACTGCCCCTGGAGTCAGCAGAGTCCCCTGCTCCTGTCCAAGCTTTGCAAGCGCCTTTGTGCCCATTAGCTCTGAATTCAAAGCTTCAAGATGCCTTCACTGCCCACTGCTAAGGTCAACACTCTCCCTTGACTACAGAGCCTTGTGTTCTCCCTTCTAAGCATGTCACACCGATACACTCACTTCTGTGATGGTCTCCCTGGCAGGAGGGGGATCCCTGAGGGCAGGACTTGGGTGGGTCTTTTCCTTTAGGACATCCTACCAGTAAAGGGTAGGACAGGAGCTGCCATGACAATTGCTCACGAAAAGCCACCGACAGAGGGCGCAACCCATGACAGGCCTAAGCACACCGACATTCACTGCATACAGTCATGCGTGGCTTCTATCTACATTACACTAAATACCATGCAAGGAAGCACCAGAGGAATTCAAAGAAGGCATGGCTTGGGGCAGCACCACCTGCAAGTGCCAAGTCATCACACTTGCCTTCGGATGGGCCAGGACAGTCTGCAGGAACACTCCTCATGTGATCACTTACTCAAGGCATGGCCTAGAGATCAAGGGACAATACACCTGGTCCCCTGCCCTCAAAAGCACACAGTCCAGTGGGGAGACTGACACAGAGACACAATTCTGTGATGATGAGATCAGAGGGGTAACGAGGTACTCAGTGATGAGGAAGGACCAGCAAAAAGGATCTGCAGAGCAAGTGAGGCAGAGGAGGAACAAGGCCCTCAGGCCGGCAGTTTGGAGTAGGAAGAACCCGGCCCGGAAGAAAGCGGCCAGGGTGTGAAGTGTTCGAGTCTGTCCCTGCAATAGTGAAGAGTCATGGAAGAAGAGGTGACTTGCTAGATGGATGCTTTCACAAATAACTTAGGATTTAAATGACAGAGGGAAAGATGCTGAAGCCACTTCCTCAGCTGCCAAGAAGGAACAAATGGAGTGTGGTGGGAACTCACCGTGTGGCAAACTTCAGCTTTTATCTCTTTCAAGGCGCGTTCAGAAAACACACAACCGCAGCATCGAAGGAAGCAAAACCTGGAGAGGGACCAAGGGAGAGCAGCTTGAGCCAGACTGAGACCAGCGTGCATGCAGCACGCAGCCACAGCACAGAGCGGGGTTACAGTACAGAGTGGGGCCACGGCATAGAGCGGGGTTACAGCACAGAGCAGGGCCACGGAGCTGAGCAGGCCACGGAGCTGAGCAGGGCCACAGCACAGAGTGGGGCTACAGCACAGAACAGGGCCACAGAGCTGAGCAGGGCCACAGCACAAAACAGGGCCACGTAGCTGAGCAGGGCCATAGCACGGAGCAGGGCCACAGCACAGAGCAGGGTTACAGCACACAGCAGGGCCACAGCCAGAGCAGGGTTACAGCACACAGCAGGGCCACGGAGCTGAGCAGGCCATGGAGCTGAGCAGGGCCACAGCACAGAGCGGGGCTACAGCACAGAACAGGGCCACGGAGCTGAGCAGGCCACGGAGCTGAGCAGGGCCACAGTCAGAACAGGGCCACAGAGCTGAGCAGGGCCACAGCACAAAACAGGGCCACGGAGCTGAGCAGGGCCACAGCACAAAACAGGGCCACAGAGCTGAGCAGGGCCACAGCCAGAGCAGGGCCACGTAGCTGAGCAGGGCCACAGCACAGAGCAGAGCCACAGATATGAGCAGGACCACTGTTCTGAGTGACTGAGGAGGGTGGGCAGAGTGCACAGATGGTTTCTGGAGGAGGCCACCGTGACCAGGCATTATTTCACACAAGGCCTACCACAGCCCTAGGACAACACAGAGGATCCCAGTGAGACCAGGGTCATGTCAGCCATTGTCACCACTCACCTGTGCCGGCCATTCATCTCCAGGCCCACCACAGGGCAGATGAACCGCGCTCGCTGGAGATCGTCATGCTTGTCGCCCTTGGTGTTTCCTTTATCCCCTTCCCAGGCAGGGTTGTCAGAAAGCCTGAGTTCTGTCACAGTCTGTGGAGAACCATTAACTATGCTGATGGGGAATGAACTCGGTGCACCCGGCCCACAGGGCTCTGCAGGTCAGCAGCACGGCCACCCTGGCCTGGGAGGAGTGTGCACCCGGCCCACAGGGCTCTGCAGGTCAGCAGCATGGCCACCCTGGCCTGGGAGGAGTGTGTACCAGACCCACAGGGCTCTGCAGGTCAGCAGCACGGCCACCCTGGCCTGGGAGGAGAGTGTACCCGACCCACAGGGCTCTGCAGGTCAGCAGCACGGCCACCCTGGCCTGGGAGGAGAGTGTATCCGACCCACAGGGCTCTGCAGGTCAGCAGCATGGCCACCCTGGCCTGGGAGGAGTGTGCACCCGGCCCACAGGGCTCTGCAGGTCAGCAGCACGGCCACCCTGGCCTGGGAGGAGTGTGTACCCGACCCACAGGGCTCTGCAGGTCAGCAGCACAGCCACCCTGGCCTGGGAGGAGAGTGTATCCGACCCACAGGGCTCTGCAGGTCAGCAGCACGGCCACCCTGGCCTGGGAGGAGTGTGTACCTGACCCACAGGGCTCTGCAGGTCAGCAGCACGGCCACCCTGGCCTGGGAGGAGGAGTGACTTCTACGAAATGCCCATCGTTTTGGCATCCCCAGAGAAAGAATGTAAGCTGAACGAATCTAAGACAGACCACTTCAACATTAGGCATGTGATCTTTTCACGTTTGTGTATGCGTGTGCTCATGTGTATGCGTGTGAGGCTCTGGCCTGATCAATGTCAGCTGTCTTCCTTGTGACCCTCCTTCCTCCCCCTCTTCCGCATATCCCACCGGCGTGAGCCACTGCAACCAGCTCAGCTGTCTTCCTCTCTCTCTCTAACGTACTTTCTCAGAGAGTCTCAGCGGGCCTCCGAGAGCCTCCTGTCACATTTCCCCAGCGCCGAGGGCCAGGCACACGCCACCACACCTCGCCTTTCACCTGGGTGCTGGAGATTTGCACTCCAGTCCTCAGGCTTGCCTATCAAGCTTTTTATCCAATAATCAATCTCCCCAGCCCCTGAATCCAACTTTAAAAAAAGAATTTCATGTTATTTGTGTATTTACTTTAGTGTATTATGTATTTACACCACACCTGTGGAGGTCAGAGACCAAACTCTTGGGTTGCTTCTCTCCTTCCACCACGTGGGCCCCAGGGAAGGAGCTCAGGTTTGCACCACCGGGCAGGCGCCAAGTGCTTCCACCCCCTGAGCCATCCTGCCAGTGCTGAATTCAGTCTCTAACACACACAAATCCTATTACAGTGACCTCACTCACCGAGGCCCCCGGAGCTCACCCACATCCCTTGTCCTACCTTGATGCTTCGAATGTGTGAGGCTGCCTTCCCCAGAGCCTTTTCAGCAGATTTGTCCAACAGAAACTCGATGACAGCATCTTTGTTATACAGTCTACGAGAGTAAGGACCAGTTTATACAACAGCAATGATTTCAGATAACAAAACGGAGGGCGGGGGGAGAACTGTACATGACTGAAGTTACCCGCATGTGCTAACAACATCCTGTGCTGCTAAAAGCAGGTGTAACCCCGCCCCAACTGCTGCAGAGCACGCAGAGCAGGTGTAACCCCACCTCAACTGCTGCAGAGCACACAGAGCAGATGTAACCCCGCCTCAACTGCTGCAGAGCACAGAGCAGGTGTAAGCCCGCCTCAACTGCTGCAGAGCACAGAGCAGGTGTAACCCCGCCTCAACTGCTGCAGAGCACAGAGCAGGTGTAACCCCACCCCAACTGCTGCAGAGCACACAGAGTAGGTGTAACCCCACCTCAACTGCCACAGAGTACATAACACAGCAACTTAAGTCAAGGTGGCAGACTGCCAGGATCAACTACACCTGAACAAGTACTTTAAGACTTGGAAAAATCAGTGTGAAAGTACTTACTTTGCCCTGTTCTTCAAAAATAAAGATCAGAAAATTTATAAGCACCAGGCCCACATGTTTCAGTTGTAAGAACCGGCTAGAACTGAGTAGTAGCCCCACCTCCTCCCCGCTTCAGGCAGGTCATGCTCTCTCCAGTTCTCCAACTCCCTGCTGCTCTACAGTACTCATGGCTGCTTCATGCTTCAGGTTTATATCTCAGCAGTTACTACTGCTCCTGAGTATAACCAAACTGAGGGAGAAGGTGTAGAGCAAGGTCCAGACACAGGGTCATCTTCCCCATAAATCTGCTTAGGAGAGCTCCTAGGTATCAATCAAGTACCTCAACATTTCCTTCAAAATCAACAGAATCAATTTGTCTTGACTAAGTAAAGGATCCGTACCTGCCAAGTTCACAGGCAACGATTGGGCGCCTCAGGATTTCCTGACTTAGAGTACAGTAGTTCCACTGGGCCACCAGTTCAGCATCTTTGTCAACCTAAAGAAGAAAAGACACACAGTCCTTCTGGTCCTTTCATATGTGAAATGTATCTAATGCCACACTGTGGTGGTCTGAATGAGAAATGTCCCTCACAGGCTCATGTGTGTGAACACTTGGTCCCACTGGGTGGCACTGTTTGAGGAAATTAGGAAACCTCGGAGGTGTAGCCTTACTGGAGGAAGCACAGCCCTAAAGCTGGGCTTGGAGGGTTTGTAACCTTTGCCCCACTTCTTGTTCACTCTTTCTGCTTCCTGTGTGTGGATGAAAATGTCATCAGTCAACTTCCTGCTCTGCCACTGGCTCCCACAGTGGAATGAGAGAGCCAGCTTCCAAAAGTTATTCTCTGACCTCCACATATACAGCACATAACACAAATTTTAAAAATGTTTTAAACTAACACTTTGTTAAATAAAGACCCACCAACACCTGACACACACAAAGCAATCATATCACACCATTAAACTGTGTGTGTAAGCATTATAAAAACAGAATTGGGGAGTGGAGGGAGTGAACCACTTTGCACACACTAAGAGGTGCTCTATCTCTGATCTAGCTCCAGCCACACACATCAACACAAATGTATTTTACAGTAAATTAACGCCTTATAGAACACAACATTTCTCCCTGGAATATGAAGAGAGACGTGACAAATTTCAGGTCCGGAGGGGTGGCTCAATGTTTAAGAGCATTACTGCTCTTGAAGAAGACCGGTTTTGGTTCCCAATAACCATGTTAGGCAGCTTACAATTCCAGTCCAGGGGATTCTAATTCCCTCTTCTGGCCTGCTTGGGTTCCTGCACACACATGGTGCATGTAAACTCATGCATATACACATAAAATAATAAATAAATATTAAAAAAGAAAAGCAAGTGTAAAGCTTCTAAGCATGATTTTGTCACTCTGATGATTAGTCCTCAACTAGGAGCTCATCAAGTCACCAGGAGCTGGGTGTGATGGTATACAACTTTAATCCCAGCATTTGAGGCAGAGGCAGGGGGATTTCTATTAGTTTGAGGCCAGCCTGATCTACAGAGAGTTCTAGACAGTCAGGACTACACAGTGAGACCTTATTTCAAATTAAAAAGGAAAAAGTCATCATCACACATCTCACTTAGAACAAGTGGTACTTCCATGGGGCTTAGGAGCTGTGTGTCAAGACGGGGCAGACCCCCATAGCTGTATTATTACTTCATAATGGGCATTGGAGACGGAAGCTCTAGAAGGGATAGACTACTCTATTCTCTGCTTTGCCCTCGGGGCCGAACAGCATACACAAGGGGCATTTAATAAGTACTTGTATGAATGGGGTTAATAAAAACCACCCTTCCTGATCAACCTTTCTTTTCTTTACCCTTCTGAGATCAGTTTTTTTTTTTTTTTTTTTTTTTGCCAAGTCCTTCGTTACACTACTCCTTATCAGTCCTGGGCACAAGGCAACAAAAGTAAGATGAACACTTTATTTACACTGGAATGTGACATGTTGGCATGGTCTGAGGGCACTCTAGCCTCACTTTCAACACATGCTCAGTGGATGTCTATTACATGCAGAAACATCATAGAGGCTACACAAATTAGACATGCAAGGACCCCAGTTCACATGGGAAAGAGATATACAGTCAACAATCACAATGACAGGCATCATTAAAAAAAATAATAAAGCAGCAGGGCGGTGGTGGTGCACGCCTTTAATCCCAGCACTCGGGAGGCAGAGGCAGAGGCAGGCAGATCTCTCTGAGTTCGAGGCCCACCTAGTCTACAGAGTGAGTTCCAGGAAAGGCACAAAGCTACACAGAGAAACCGTGTCTCGAAAAACAAAAACAAAAAAACAAAACAAAAAAAGCAAAAAAAAAAAAAGGAAAAGAAATAGTAATAATAATAAAGCAGCAGAGGGAGAGAGGGACTAGAGAGTGACTTCAAGGGAAGAGCCCCAGCTGCAGCTGAGTGGGATGATGGCTGAGTGAAGACATGAGGGAAAGAGCCAAGCAGCGCACACTGTAATCCTGGCACGCGGATGGCTGGGGCAGGAGAACCACATAGTCTTGGGCAAGCCTAAGCTACCTAACAGCAAAAGCTTCTCTCAAGCAGCTCCCTCCCCCCTAATAAGGACTGAATGAAAAAGTAATGATGTCACTGCTTTTGAGTGAGGACTGTTCAGGATGATAGGACAAGGCCTACATCATCGAGAACAGAATGTAAGAGCTAAGGAGGGGCAGACGCAGGCAGAGAGGAGAGCAGGGGTCTATTCATACAGGATCCAGAGGAGTTTATTAGGAATGTGACAGGAAGCTACTGCAGTGTCTCAAATATTAACACTGGATGGGACTCACCTCCCACCCCAAAGTTCTCTGAATGCTAGATCAGAAAACATGACCCTCTCTGTACTGGGAACTGTATCAAGGGCGGTTCACAACTACAGACTATATGACTTCAGTCGTGTTAATTCACTTTCCTGGACTCAATTTCCTGGCCATTAGTATAGAACTATACACTTTGCTCAATGTTTTGTAAGATTTAGAGACCCAGCTGGGCAGTGTTGGCGCACGCCTTTAATCCCAGCACTTGGGAGGAAGAGGCAGGAGGATCTCTGTGAGTTCGAGCCCAGCCTGGTCTACAGAGCAAGTTTCAGGACAGCCAAGAATGTTGCACAGAGAAACCCTGTCTCAAAAAAAAAAAAAAAAGAAAAAAAAGAAAAAAAAAGATTTAGAGACTGTTCACTCATTTACTCAAAATATTCACTGTGCCAGAAACTGTGCTCGCACCACTAGGGGCTCCAGTCTGGGGGGGATCCCAACTGGGACCAACCACCAATTCTGTGTGCTCAGTGCTGAAAAAGTTTAATAAGGGTCTGACTTCACAAAATAAGGGAACGGTCCAGGAAGACTTCTTTAATATACACAATGCTCACTGGAGAGACAGGCTCAGTGGTTAAGCCTTTGTTCTTTTCTTCCAAAAGACCAGAGTTTGGTTTCTAACGGCCAAGTTTGAGGGTTCACAAAAATCTGTAACTCTAGCTCCAGAGGATCCGATTCCTTGTTCTGGGTACCACACTCACGTGTACACACACAAACATAACTAAAAATAAAAACATTTCTTAAGTACGTAAAGTACCAGGCATGGAGGCCCACGCCTTTAATCCCAGCACTCAGCAGGCAGTCGCAGGATTTCCAGCCAGCCAGGACCACCTAGTGAGAGCCTGTCTCAAAAACAAAACAAAAACACACGAGCACCTATTAATACGATCGTTGCTAACTGCAGATATGGTCCCAGTCCTGGCTGGACCACTCACCAGCTCTCCAGCCTCTGCCTTTTTGAGAATTAATGTTTACACATCATCAACACCGTGTCTGTTGGGAGGATACCCCAGTCTAAAAGTACTGTCCAGTGACTGCAAACACTAAACCCTTCTTAAGCACCGGTGGACACTTTATCCCGCGCCCTGCCGCCCGCGGTCTCCACTGACCTTCTCGACCTTCTTCGGCCCCTTCACCAGCTCGTGCCTCTTGGGGATCGTTCCTCCGTCGCAACCCATCCCAAGGCCGGAGTCAGAAGCCGCAGCAAAAACTGGAGGCCGCCGCTTCCGGGGTCTCTGCCAAAACCCTAGCCACTTCCGGCGCTCCTTGATGACGCATACGACAGTCGCGCCGCAAATGGGGGCGGGGCCACTCGGTGAGGTTCGCGGAGACCTTGCTCAGCGGCGGTTGCTATGGGAACGCTGCCCGGAGTTGGGCGTGGCTTCAGGGCCGTAGGCTGGCTCATCCCCGGGAGTGCGTCCACTTCCGGCTGTACAGTCCCTTCTTTTTCCTAGTGGGTCTGGGGACTTCCTGGATATGGGAAGGTGGGGCATGCTAAGTGAGGCCAGAGCACTAGGGAACACCTGCATGCTGGCCCCGAGGCCTGCGTTCCCTGGGAGCATTTTGCAGACCGGGGCGAGCTCTGCTGTAAGACTAAGGATGAGATGGACGGAACGTGTCACTTAGCTAGCTTTCGTGTATTTTAAGTACAGACTTAAAAAAAAAAAAAGAATTGTGTGGGTCTGCATGTGGGTATGTACACCACGTGAGACAGGTGCGGTGGAGGCCAGAAGAAGGTGTTGGATCTCCCCAGGACTGGAGTTGTGGATGGCTGTGAGCTGCTGGGGTGCTGGGAACCAAACCAGTGTCCACTCAAAGAACAGCAAGCACTCTTAGCCACTGAACCATCCCTCCATCCTGTATCCAGATTTTTAAGTGCAAAACCCCGGGACTCCAGTGTCACCCACAACCTAAGCTTAGCTACCCAGTCCATTGTGCCAGTTAAAGAGATTAGTGACGGTAAAGGCAGAGGAAGGGATATATTCAGGGTGGCCATATTGAGAAGAGGACAAACAGGGGTTCAGTGACAACCCAGTCTGTCTTTGGGGTGCTGACATGAGCTGTAGGCCTAGAGGAACAGCAGGGCAAAAGGCACGTATAAAGAAGCAGTCCTGGGCTAGGGGTGGTCTCCTTGACTTCTGTCAGCTCCAGTTCTGCAAAGTGGCCAGTCCCAAGTCCCCACTGCTGGAGTGAACAGGTAGTCTCAGAAGACCATTTCTTCTGCACTTCTCACTTAGGGGAGCACCCTGTCCTCTGGGGCTCTGCTGTTCCTGGCATCCTAAGGGGTAGTTGTAGGCCCAGAACAATGCCTTATGTCTGTGCCTTCAACCTTATGAATTATGTTGAGTTCAACGCTAACCTGGGCCTACATGGTATGTACTAGGACCAGCCTAGGCTACAGAATGAGACCTTGTCATGTCATGTCATAAATGCATATGTACATACATATAAACAAAATAGAAAGGGACAATACTAAACACCCAGGATTTGGGTACGGGCTTTTCAAGGTGGGGGAGTCATGCTTAGGTGTCTATACATCTGATTTTGTGGTTTCTGATGTTACATAACTCAAAGGATGCAACTGGCAACCAAGTTCTGAGATCAAGCAAAGTTACAGATTAAGTACAAAATGATGAGCTGATTTTTAGTTTCCCATCACGGGGTGCTTTGTCCAGGCTCAGGGATGAGAGTGGCTTGCTGATACAGAGAAACCCAAGACTCACAAGCGTTCCGTACTTAAGGAAGCATAGTCTAGTGGTGGTGGTTTGCAGAACTCCCTGTGTAGCCAAGGGTGACCTTGAACTTTGATCCTCCTGCCTCCATCTCTTTGGTGCTGGTATTGCAGGTGTGCACAACCACACCCAGTTTATGCAGTGCTGGGGATGGCACTCAAGGCTTTGTGTGTGATAGTCAGGCACTGTACCCAATTCAGCATATCATCAACACTTTTATTGTTTTTAACACCCCAGTGGTTTTGTTTGTTTGAGACAAAGTCTGCTTATGTAGCCTTGGTTATCCTAGAACTCATTAGGTAAACTTGGCTGGCCTGGAACCCAGGGAGATCTGCCTGCCTCTGCACACTGAGTCCTGGGATTTAAGGCTTGTGCCATTATGCCTGGCTTAATGTACTTATTTAACGTACCTCTTTAAAAAGGAATTTAGTTTCTGTAGGCCTTCTCCTCCTCCTCCTCCTCCTCCTCCTCCTCCTCCTCCTCCTCCTCCTCCTCCTCCTCCTCCTCTTCTTCCTCCTCCTCTTTTTCCTCTTCTTCTCCTTACTCCTCCTCCTCTTCTTGAGACAGGAAGTAGCCCTGGCTGACCTTGAACTCACAGAGATCTATCTGCAAGCAATCATAATTTAGTCAGTTATGTTGTGTTTCTCTCAGTCTGTGGAAAATGCAAACTGACCCTAGGTAAGGGTTTCCTCTACTTCCTGTGTCCCTTTAAATTTTCCTTTCTAGCCAGGCAGTGGTGGTGCTTTCATTTAATTCCAGCATTTGGGAGGCAGAGGCAGGTGGATCTCTTGAGTTTGAGGCCAGCCTGGTCTACGAGCGAGTTCTAGGACAGCTAAAGCCACACAGAGAAACCTTTCTCGAAAAATAAATTTTTTTTCCATTCTATCCTGCCTTAAAAAGTATATATTAGAAATTTCAAAGGTTTTTAAAATTTCTTTTTACTTTATGTGTATGAATGTTTTGCCAGCACGTATGTGTGTGGCCTACAGCTCATGTGTGGAGGTCAGAGAACAATTTACAGGAGATGGTTCTATCCTCCTACCATATGGATCCTGTGGATTGGGCTCAGGCTTGGCAGTAAGCGACTTTATCCACTGATCCATCTCACTCACTGGCCCAAGAAGATGTTTTATAAATATTATTTGTTTGGGGAGTGGTCCATGCCTGCAGTCCTAGCATTTGGGAAGATGGTAGTGTTGAAGCTAGCCTGGGCTACACAGCAAGATACTCTCTCTCAAAAAAAAAAAAGAAAAAAGAATGTATTTGCACCAAAGTAGATCCATGACCCTCCAGTGCTTGTCACACTGGAAGATCTCTCAGGTGGGCCCTCACCACTTCCAGCCTCTCGGTGAATTGACCTTAATTGAGGCCAAGCTGCTGTTACCACCACCCACCATTTCCTCTTCCTTTTTGTGGAGGAAACGGTGCAGAATGTTGGATATTAGACATGCTTATTTAACAAGAAGTTGCCAAAAGCTGACAAAGTGCATTTGGTTCTAAAGCTCCTGGGCGAGCCTCTGAAATCAGTCTGGGGAGACCCACTCCCACGATAGCCACTGTCTGTGCAAAAAGGGAAGGGGGCACTCGCAGCTGAGAGCAACATTTTTCACGATTTCGCACATAGTGGGTTTGCTCTTTGTTGACAAGGATTCTCTTTGTTTGCTTACTTTGCAGGGTCTCATGTAGTCCAGGCTGGCCTCCAAATCCATATGTAGTTGAAAATGACCTTGAAATCCTGACCGCCCCTCCCCATCTGAAGGCTGGGATAACAGGAGTGTGCCAGCACGCTGGTCTATGAGGTGCTGGGGATGAAACCCAGGGCTTCCTTCCTAAGCACATACTCTACCAACTGACCCACATCCCTTGACAACAGTTCTTGGTTTGAACACAACTCAAAAATTTAAAAATATGAGCCAGGTGGTGGTGGTGGTGGTGGTGGTGGTGGTGGTGGTGGCACACGTCTTTAATCCCAGCACTCAGGAGGCAGATCTCTGTGAGTTTGAGGCCAGCCTGGTCTACAGAGCGAGTTCCAGGACAGGCTCCAAAGCTACACAGAAAAACCCTGTCTCAAAAACCCAAAAAAATGTTTAAAAATATGAAAAGCAGCACCGGGCCACAAGCTGCTCGACTGTCTGTCACTGGGTTCAAGTTTGTGAGGCATTGGGACAGCGCTGTGTCAAGGGAGTGGTGCAAGTAGATGCTCTCATATCATGGGGTAAACAAACCAGTATTTCTGCAGCAAGAAGATTCTACCCTTTGATTCCCTGCAGCAGTCTGCTTCCAGCTGCATCCATCCCTGATTCCAACTGCATCCCTGACCTTACTGGAAGATACTTCCCAATGAGTGTCTTCCATTTCTGCACATCTGAGCAGACCACGTGGCATTTTGTTCTGAGTTATCTTCTCAAGGATGCTATGTCCAACTCTCTCCAGGGTGCAGGACAGGTATTATTTTGGCTAACAATGCATCTGTCTCTATCTATCTATCTATCTATCTATCTATCTATCTATCTATCTATCTATCTATCTATCCATCTATCTATCTATCTATCTATCTATCTATCTAGATCTCTGTCTAGATACCTATCTAGATATCTATTGGTAAGTAGATACCTGTTATTATTTTTTGAGACGAGGTCACTGTGTAGCCCTGGCTGACCTGTAACTTGCTATATTTACACTTGCTATTTATACCAGGCTGATCTAATTCATAGAAATATCTATCAGATATATCTATAGATAGATGTATCTGTATCTATATATACTTATATAGATAGATATAGGTTTATTTTTTTAAATTGAGACAGAGTCTAAGTATATTGCCCTGGCTGCACTCAACTTGTAGCAATCCTCCTGCTTCTGCCTCCCAAGTGCCAGCTGCTGAAAATCAGATAAATATGGTGTCTCAGTTAGAGACACAGCTCCATTGGCTATGCTTAGGATCTCTGAGAGTTGAGGCATTCCTAAGCTAAGAGCTTCCTAGCTCTGATACAAACCTGTGTGTGTCCAGCCTTCACCTGAGCCCATCTCAGCATCATGCCCTGGGGCTGGAGGGACAGGGATCCATCAGTGCTATGAAAGTGAGTGCAGTTGCGTTTGGTGCTGCCAATTCTTGGCTCTGTGCAGATGTCGCTCTATACAGATGTTGCTCTATACAGCATGTCGGACTGCCATGCTTAGGAGAGACAGCTTGAAGTGTGGCCCTTGATTGGCACATGGGAAGTTGAAAAGGATGGCTTTTTACCATCCCCGGAATGGCTAAGCATAGCTTTCTGCACCTAAACTATACACACAGTGTGATTTAGGCTAACTATCTTCCCCTGGAAGCCTGGATATATGGAATGTGCCAGGCAAAGGACACTTGTGTCTCCAGCCACCAGTCAGAGTCCTGGGGGCTGGGTTCTCATGAGCCCCTCTGGTTGGCAACACCCATGTGTACTGCTACAGTTGTGGTTGAAGAATGAAGCCTGGTCTTGGCTCTTGGAAGCTTGTTCTTGGTTTCCAACCCTAGAGTCTCTTCCTTGTCACATAAATGGATCATAGCAGTGGGCAGTGGTGGCATACCTTGAATTTGGCACTTGGGAGGCAGGGGTAGGAGGATCTCTGTGAGTTTGATGCCAGCCTGGGCTACAGAGTGAGTTCCAGGACAGCCAAGGCTGCACAGAGAAAACATGTCTTGAAAACCTAAAAAAAAAAAAATGGAAAGAAAAAAGAAGCAAAAGAAATGAATCATAGCTCCGAGTATTACTGTACTGGGTCCTGTAAGTCCCCCTAGTGACTAATTATGCCACAAGTTTACTTGCGGCACACCCACATAGCCTCTTCTTCTAGAACCTCAGCTTCTTTTTTTGTGTCCATAGAACTGGCAGGAGGAATCCTTAGATACATCACAGTGCCACACAGAGCCAGTGGCTAGGGTTATTGGAGTGTGAATATGTGTGGATGTCAGTGTGTGTGTGTGTGTGTGTGTGTGTGTGTGTGTGTGTGTGTGTGTAACAGAGTGGGAATGTAGGAATGAGAAAGAGGAGTATGTGTGTGAGTGTGTGTGTGTGTGTGTGTGTGTGTGTGTGTATGTGTGTCTGTGTGTAGGACTGTGCAGGACTGTCGCTCCTTCTCTGGTCATAAATCAAGGAGGTCATACTTTACTCCAAGGTAGCCACTTTGCCACCATAGGAGTAGACTCACAGAGTGTGGGACCCAGAAACTGCCCCTTGACACCACTGGAGGCCCTGAAGTCGGCCGGTGGCTCCAGGTTGTCTAAGAGCCAAATATTTCCCTGCATTGCTAAGACAGAGTGGCCACAGATTCCCCCACTCACAGCAGGATCCTAGCAGGCGACACCCCGTTGTTCAGAGTGTGACCCTCCTAGGCCGAGACTAAGTCTCACATGTTTTAGAGTCATGAGACTAAGTAAAAACAGGAGCCTGCTAGAGGCAATGACTTTTTGTTTGTTTGCTTGAGACAGAGTCTCAAACTGCTCCCTTCTCCACTCGTTCTCCACACTCCCATTCACTTCCCTCCGTTACTTCTGTTTCGTTCTCTTGAGAGAGGCTATCATGAGCCCAGGCTGACCTTGAACTTCTGATCTTCCTGACTACCTTCCAAGTGTTAGAATTACAGACATGTACCATTATGCCTGGATCTACATGCAACATTAAAAAAAGATTTTATTAGTTATTTATGTCTATGTGTATGTGTGTGCACTCAGGCTAGAGGACATTGGATCTCCTGGAGCTGTGATTACAGGCAATTGTGAGCTGCCTAATGAAGGTGCTAAGATCTGAACTCAGGTCCTCTGGCTACTATATTCGACATTCTAAAAGGAATTAATTTTTATTCTATGTATATGAGTGTTTGCATGTATGAATATGTATGATGTATGTTTGTATGTACATACATATGCATATATGTATTACACCACTTTCATGCTTGCTGCCTGAGGAGGACAGAAGAGGTTGTCAAATCCCTTGGAACTAGAGTTACAGAGGGTTGTGAGCCACCACATGGCTGCTAGAAACCAAACCAGGGTCTTCTGTGAGAGTAGCAAGTGCTCTTAACCACCGAGCCATCTCCGGAGTCCCTGCAGTCACTATTTTAAAAGTGCCCACCACATGCAGAGAAGATAGAAGCTGTCCTTGGCACCCCCGCAGGAGATGCAGCCTGTAGATGCTTTGTGAAGGTGTCGTGTGACATGAGAGACAGGGACCTTCCCATGGAGCGAAGGATAAGGTAACCATAGTGACATGAGTTTCGTGGAGTGAAGGATAAGATCACCATGGTAACATGAGTTGAAAGGCTGAACTTCGAAGAGAAAGAAGGAAGTGGTGGTTAGCATGAGGGGCAACACTTCCATAGCTGTGAGCAGTGTGGGTGTCACCTCAGGCCACATCTTCCTGCCCACCCTCCGGGGACACACAAATGCTGGTTTTGCTTTCCAGTCCAGACTGACATATAGAAACTTGCACACATCCCTGTGGATGCATTCCAACACATGCTTCGCTTTGGTGCCAGGACTTGGGTGACCTGGCTCAGAGATTCTTCCAAAGAAAGGACTGCTGCCAGTGTGTTTCCATGTTTTAATTTCTTAAATTACAGTTTACGTTACCACATGGGTCCCTGGGATAGAACTCAGGTAATTGAGTTTGTTGGTAGGTACATTTACCTCCTGAGCCATCTCTCAGGACCTTGCAGATATGTTTAAACCCATGATTATAGATAAATAATATAACAGATTCGAGGCCAGTGAAGTATAAGCCTAGTCTAACTGAGCAGTAGAACTGACTGATACAGGATTTGTAACATACAAAATAAGGTAGCAGAGAACCCAACAGAACACGTAACAATCACCTTTGGGGTGAGGTAACATAGTCAAAACACATTTTCGGGGGCTAGGGGGTCAATCTTAGTGGCAGAGTACATGCTTAGCATGTGTGAAACCCTGGATTCAGTCTCTAGCAACACACACACACACACACACACACACACACACACACACACACACACACACACACACACACACAATGTATACATCTCACAGTATTAATCCAAAACTAACTGATAAAAAAGGCAAACTATCATTACTTTTTGGGGGGGCATTTTTAAAAAATAAAAAACAAGTTCTCACTATATAGCCCTCTTTGTCTTGGAACTCACTACAGACCGGTCTGGCTTCATTAAGTTCTGCCTGCTTCTGCCTCCTGAGTGCCGGACTTAAAGGCGGCACCACCAATCCCTGCAGGTCACCACATTTTCTAATGAATATGACAGAAATTAATCCTCTGAAAATCAGTTCCTTTCTCCTGTTTCCCCAGCTTTCTTTTCTCATTAGCAGTGGGTGGACTTTGTCCCTTTGTCTGTCTTCCCAGTCAGACTGACTGACAGCAGAGCCTCTGATTCCCCGCGGTCACTTCAGCCCCTTTACCTTAGGTATTGCCCAATAAATACGTGCAGAGTGACTGTAAACCACACACATACATTTGATTGACATGAAACACGGTTTCTACAATGCCACTCCCACTGTTGGTGCTGTGGCACAGTGAGTTCAACATCACAAGGTCCTGACCTGCCTCTCTTTCTTGACCTCTTTGTGGTCAGCCAGTGTCCTTCCGATGCTTAGTCACTTACTAATACCAGCTCCAAGGGCTGTGGCTGTTTCAGCCTATCTGGCTGGCTTTTCCACAGGGCAGAGTGGCACCAGTTGTGGGTGAGGAGCTAGCCAGGAATTGACCTTTATAGGAGGAGTTAGGAAAGGCTTCATTCCAGCGTGTCTCTGAATTTCCGAGCGTGATGTTCTAGCTTTTCCACCTCTGTCTGGAGGCAGCCCAGGGCGCTGGGGCTTGGGTACTTGATCACTGCATTCTTGGTGGCCAGCGCCAGGTCCTTGAGCAGTCCACACAGGTGACTGCTGCCACGCAGGATCTCATTGCGTTCGTCCTTCTCCTGGGTCTCCTTGCACAGCGTGTCCACCAGCTTCTGCCCGACTGTGATGACCAGCTTGCTCTGAGTGATAAAGACCTCGGGGGGCTGGCTGTTGCTGAGGCTGCTGGTAAAGACACCGATGGCTTTGAAGAGTGCTCCAAAGTAGAGCCTGCTGTGCTCAGACAGATGGATCTTCCTGTCTGGGCCCTGCCGACTGGGAGGTGGACTCTAAAGAAGAGAAATGAGAAAGTACGTAAGGGCTAGAACCATCAGCAGGCTGCAGCTGTCATTCCTCTCCCGTCTGGGCTCAATTTTCAAGAACCCTTATAAGGAAGAGCAGATTAGTTAAGGAAATTCAGAACTGGCTGGGACATTTGTCTAACATGAACGCCAATGTTTTCGAAGCACTGTTCGGTATGCAACTGTATGTATTCTTGTGTTACAGACTGTAGTGCATTTGTACATACAGTTTTATTCAACCAGCTCTGTAAACCATAAGAAACACATTCTAAGGAACACATTGATAATAATAAACTCGCAACTTTCAAATGTTCAAGAAGTAGGGGAGTTGAGTGCTGTCCCCACTCTCTGGAGGTGGAGGCAGGAAGATTGCCAGTTCAAGGCTGGCCTGACCTATGTGGTGAACCCTGGTCTCCAGGCAGGGGGGAGAAGCAGTGAGAGACATTGCATCCAGAGCATCTTGGCTTGAAAATATCAACTATAGGTGAATTAAAAATGTACTGATGCAGCTGGGCAGTGGTGGCACATGCCTTTAATCCCAGCACTCAGGAGGCAGAGCCAGGGGGATCTCTGTGAGTTCGAGGCCTGGTCTACAGAGCAAGATCCAGGACAGGCACCAAAACTACACAGAGAGACCTTGTCTCAAAAAAAAAAAAAAAAAAAAAAAAGGTACCGATGCTTTAGCTGGGGCAGGGACAGGGATGGGGGAGGAAGCTGTCATTGTGTCTTAATGACAGACTGCTGCAGGCAGTTAGTGGGCAGGGGTCCTGGGATGCTGAGTGGGGCATCCCATCCATGGATCCCTGTTCCCAGAATGAGGAAGCCCCGTTAGTGTGAAGCAACATTGTCAGATATGGGCCCTGGACCAGCCCATCAACGTCACTTGCCAGAGACACAGGATTTTAGCCTCTGCCCAAACCCAAGAGATCAAAAACAGAGATGTAGGAAGGCCAGCAGGCAATGGTGACACCCTTTTAAGTCTAAGGCACCCCTCACATGGGACAAAACAGCGTGGCCTTCAGCAGGACAGAGCCAAAGTCAAGTGCTAGGGGCTTGGGGAGCTGAGCTCTAAGAGGCTTGGGTTCTTGCCCCGATGTGTCTCTGAGAAGGCAGATTCCCTGTCCAAGTCAATGGACATCTCTGTCCTCCTTTGATCTCCCCAATAGCCCAGTTGTTGATCTGGTTTACCGCAGCTCGACAGTTCCTATAACCTTCATTTCTCTTGCCTCTCTCAACACTGACTGGCTTCTTACTTGGTTTTTAAATAGACTTATTGTGTGTGTGTTGCATGTATGTACATGTACAGATAATGCTTTTGCCCTTACACTCAGAGGCCAAAACATGGTGTCAAGTTTCTTCCCCAATATTTTCCTGACTTACTGCCTTAAGATAGGGTCTTTCACAGAATCAGAAGGTCCCTATCTTGGCTGGGCTGGCTAGCTGGTGAGCTCCCAGAATCTGCCAGTCTCTAACCCTGCTCCCCAATGCTGGGGGTTACAGGCTGGTTACATGGTAGCCAGCAGTGCCTGGCTTTTTCACATGGGAGCTGGGGATCCGAACTCAGGTCCTCATTGTTGCACAGCAAGCAGTCTCACCCACCGAGCCCTCCCCCTAGCCCTGGACTCATTGTTCATACTTTAATCAGTTTAGAGGAAACATTTAAAGTTGGTAAATGGAAAATTGTTCTCTGCCACAGATAGAAGACAGCCAATAAGAACAAACAGTGATAACATCTTTGGTTTAAAAGACACTGACCAGGTGTCAAAGACACTATGAAGAAACATAAACCCCCAAACAAAATGTTTTACTGTGCTCATCATCAGAAACATGAAGGGGTTGCTAGGCTGAGGAGAGTAGAAGGCAGATGGATGCTGCTAATGTGGAGTAGGCTGTAACTGAGTTTTCACAGCCCAAGGAGAGCTCTCCAGGGCAAACACACTCACTCGAGCTCTGGGGAGCACGAGGGGTTACCACGGCGTGGCCATCTGTGTTTTCACCTGACCTTCGTTCCAAGATGGGCTCTCCTTTCTCTTTTAAGTTAGGCGGCTTTTGAAAAACATTGAATCTTCAAATTACTAATTTAAATAGCTTTCACATTACTATGACTGTTTAAGTTCACTTTTTTTGTTTCATTTTTATGGTTGGTGGTTTTTATGCCTGCCTTCCCACCCTCAAGATCTTGCTGTGGAGCCTAGATTGGCCTGGAACTCACCACCCCCTCCCCAACTTCCTGAGTACTAAGGTTATAGGTGTGCACCACCATGCCCCACTTAAATTTACTTTTAAATGTGGGATTTTGTTCGTGACTCTGCCTACTGATGCATTCATTGGCTTTGTCAGCAAAGGGCTGGATTCTGCCTGTCAATGCAGCCTGATAGAATGGAAATTAAAAACAGCCACCTTTCTAGATTGTGTCAACTCTCTTCTATCAGCCAGGCACTTCAGAAGAGTCTGGAAGTGCCACCTCTCTGCTGTCACAGTGACTTGCTGGACCAATACAGTCTGGCAATCCCTGAACTCAAGAGTCTCCTTGTGGGGTCCAAAGGCAGCCAGCCAGAGAACTGCTTCTTGGGGTTCCTGGAGCAGCAGGCTGGTCAGTCCAGCTTTGGGAAGAACGTGTGTTCTCCTCCTTGAACTCATCTTGAAACACATCTACAATGACTCAGCCTAGAAATGTGGAGAAACCTGGCAGTTAGTAGCACAGGCCTGTGACTTCAGCCTCTCAGGAGATGTGCTGGCTAGCTGGCTAGTTTTTCTTTTGCTGTTTTGTTTTGTTTTGGTTTTTTTTGAGACAGAGTTTCTCTGTGTAGCTTTGGTCCCTTTCCTGGAACTCACTCTGTAGCCCCGGCTGGCCTCGAACTCACAGAGATCTACCTGCCTCTGCCTCCCGAGTGCTGGGATTAAAGGTGTGCCCCACCACCGCCTGGCTAATGTGCTGGATAGTTTTATGTCAATTTGACACAAGCGAGAGTCATGGGAGAGGAGGAAGCCTCAGCTGAGAAAATGCCCCTACAAGATAAAGTTGTAGGCAAGCCCGGAGGGTGTTTTCTTAAGTAGTGATTGATGTGGAAGGGCACATCCCACTGTGGGTGAGCCACCCCTGGGCTGATGGTCCTGAGATCTATAATAAACCAGGCTGAGCAAGCCATGGGGAGCAAGCCAGTGAGCAGTACCACTCCACGGCCTCTGCATCAGCTCCTGCCTCCAGGTTCCTTCCCTGTTTGTGTTCCTGTCCTGACTTCCTTCTGTGATGGACTATGATGTGGAAGTGTAAGCCAAATAAATCATTTCCTCCCCAACTTGCTTTTGGTCATGGTGTTTCATTATAACAATAGCAATAACCCTAACTAGGACAAGAGGCTAAGGCAGGAGAGACCCAAGTTCAAAGCCTACTTGGGCAATTTAGGGATATCCTTTCTCAAAATAAAGAGTAAAAATGGAGTGGTTCCCGTCATGATTGCATGCACCTTTAAACCCAGTCTTCAGGAGGCAGAGGCAAAGGTACAGGGAGGTGGAGAGGCATAGGGGCAGAGAGGCAGAGGGGCAGAGGTGGATCTCTGAGTTCCAGGCCAGGGCTACATAGTGAGACCCTGTCTCAAACAAACAAACAAACAAACCCCAAGAACAACAACAATAAGAAACAAGACGCAGAATGACAGATTCAGACACCACACACCTACACACTACACACACACATATATATTCAAAAAGGCTCTGAAGATCAACCTGTGAGGTGATTTGCAAATACAAGGACCTAGGTTCAACCACTGGAACCCATGGAAAAAACTGGTTGTGGTGGCACACGCTTGTCATTCCAGTGCTGGGGAGGCAGAAGAAGGAAGAGCCCTAGGTCCCACTGTCTAGCCAGTGGGAGACACTGAGGAATAACAGCCAGGCTTGTCCTCTGCCTTCCACACACACGTGCAGGTACACACTTCCACATGCACACATTCCCGGCATCTCCCTCTGTGGTGACCATTTTTGGGAACAAATGAAGCTCCCTGGTGTACCATTTGTCACCCGAACTCACCTGTCCACAGACATTCACTCTGTTATTCTTTACTAGCTCAAGGCAGTGTTCATTCGCCAGTTGTTTATTGAAGGAACTGCTCCTTTGGTATGGCTCAGTTTCCCGTTGGGGAGGCTGGATGCATTTTTCACACTTCAGCTCTGTCTCTCCTTTCTCACAGTTCTGTTTAAAAAGGAGCCTCCCATTGGCAATGACAATGGAGGTAAATCTCTTGACATCTTCTGGAACCATCCGTGCCACCATGACAAACCTCTCCAGGTCATCAAGGCTGTTTTGGACTTTATCAGTCACGAGAACTTCAAGGGACCAATTGCAGCGGTCCAGGCTCCCCTTGGCATCCAGCAGAGTCTGATAGGAACGGGAGATTATTTGGATCTGATCTCTAATCCGAGCCTGAAGCTGGCTGTCTGTGAGGCTGCCGGCAGTCCCACCAACCCCTTGGGCGAAATCCAGAAACTCTCTTAAGGATTCTTCGATGTGGTCAGCAGCCCTGCGGATCGTGTGGATGTTGGTCTCCAAGGAGTCTCTGAACCTCCAAGTCCTGCTTACGAAGAGTAGCAGGCCTGCTGCAGAGCTGGCTACTTTGTGCTGCAGGGCCATTGCTGTCTCTTTGGCAAAGTCCATATCCATCCACAGCTCCTTTGTCGAGTCCTCAGAGGAGGAGCCAGGGGAGGAGTCCATGGATATGGAGGAGCATGAAGACACCATGCTAGCTCTGCTGTCGGAGCTGGCAACAGATAATTGGTCTGAGTCAGGAGACAGAGAATTTAGCTGTCTGGAGATCCAGGGGATATTCTCTGGAAGCTCTTTGATTTTCTCCAGCTCCCTCCCAGCCTGAGACACACCCTGCATGGCTTTAGGGGAGTCATAAATGTTGGGTTTGGTGTTCTGCTGCTCCACTCTGGGAACGAGAAACCTGGAAGGGACCCTGTAGCTGCTGCCTGCATCAGAAGGAAGTGAGTCCCTGGGTACCGGGACAGCATAGGAAGGCTCTTCTGGAAAGCTGCTTTGCTTTTGCTCTGTGCTCCCCAGCTGTGGGGAGAGGGTCACAGCTCCGGTGTGCGCGGCGCAGGTGGAGCCTGGAACAGCAGCGGACCCTGCTTCTCTGGGGAAGCTGCTCAGAGATACACTTCTGACGTCAGCCTTTGCCAGCAACACTGGAGTGCCAGTCATCCATTCTGATTTCGGAGGGCTGGCTAACGTGTGGTAGCCACCACCTTGTCTGAAGGCAGTTGTCGGGGTCAGCACAGCACTCTGTCCCTGAGAAAGAACCACACACAGTTGTCCAGGTTAGTAGCAATCAGAAGAGAGTTTGAGAGGTCCTTTACATCTGAGGGGCACTCTTGCTCGGGTTCCTCCAGTGGCTCCCCACTGCTCTGGTCACTTAAGGCCTCTCCTAGTCTGGCTTCACCTCTGTTTGAACTTCCTTTCTGTCCACAGTCTGCCTTTGTCTGGACTCCCTCCTGTAAGTCGGTAGTGGTTTGAATGAGGCCGGCCTCCACAGGCTCATTAAGTTGGAATGTTTGGTGCCCAGTTGGCAGAACATCTGAGAGGATTAGTCGTGGTGACCGTGTTGGAGGAGGTGGGTCACAAGGGCAGGCTTTTGCTTCAGACCCCACCCCCTCACCCCGTGCTCTCTCTGCCCCTGTTTATGGCTCAAGATGTGAGCTCTCAGCTGTTCCTGCTGCCATGCCTTCCTCTGCCACCATGAACTCTGACCTCTGGAGCCATAACCCCAGTTAAGTTCTTTATTTGATAAGTTATCTTGGTCATGGTGTTTCATCACAGCAGAAGGAACTGATACAGCATCCACATTCCCAAGTTGCTTTTTTCTCCTTAGTTCAGGAAACTCACTCATACCCCCATGTTCAATGTCCCAATGGTTCCTTCTGCTCCTAATGGCCTCTTTAATCTTTTCTTTTGAATCTAACGGACTTCTCCACATCACCCACAACATTGCTGAAATGCAATGATATTGGAAGATCCCCCTAATCCCGTAACTTTGAACAGGAGCATGCCTTTGGCACACATCTGGTAGAATGCAATGACAAACTTGGATTACGCAGGGTTCCCCCCCCCCCATGAGGGACCTCAAATGATGTTCCTCTATCTGAAGGTAAGAGCACACTTTACACGATGTGTCTATGTGATCTCTCATGAGAAGTCATTCTCTAGCATCTGCTGAGCATTTTCTCTGTGGCTTATACAAACTATCCCACAGAATATTCCAGAACATTTGCAGTAAGAATGGAGGCATGGGGAAGTTAAATGACTTAACCAAACTACCATATAACTTGTGTGTGTGTGTGTGTGTGTGTGTGTGTGTGTGTGTGTGTGTGTGTGTGTAGGCCAGAGATGTGTACTGGGAATTTTCTTTTATCACTCTTCCCCTTGTATTTTCAGACATGGTCTCTCACTGAACCTGAACCTCAGTAGACTTGCTGGTCCCCCAACTCTAGCAATCCTCACATCTCCACCTCTCCAGCTCTGGGACTACTGGCTTGTGCTCAGCTTTTAAAAAAAAATATTTTATGGATATGGGTATTTTGCCTGCACATATGTGTACCATGTGCATGTCTGCTGCTCATGAAGGCTAGAAGAGAGCATCAGATCTCCTGGGACTGTGGTTACAGATGTTTGTGAGCAGCCATGTGGATGCTGGGAACTTGGGACCTCAGAAAGAGCAACCAGTGTTCTTAGCTAACTCTCCAGCTCCACTTTTTAAAAACCATGTGAGCACAGGGGATCCAAACTCAGGCCCTCAGCTATCTCTCCAGCCCACTACCCTAGTCCTGGACAGCAGGGCAAGGAGGGATTTTACCACCAGTGCAGTAGAGGTGATTACAAGGATCCTGCTCCTGCCTTTTGATCAACTGCCACAGTTTGAATTCGGAATATTCCTGATGTTGAGGGTTTGGTTCTCAGCCTGGGCTGCTGTTAGAAGGTGATGAGACCTTTGGGAGGTGAGGCCCAGTAGAAGGAAGTTGAGCCATTGGGGCCATCATCTTGAAGAGAATACTGGGACTCCACCCAGTATTCTCTTCTCTCTCTTTGCTCCCTAACCTTCATAGAGCAAGCATCTTCCTCCACCATGTGCTCTCACAGAGATGTACTGCACCACACCACAGTCTCCAAAGCACCCAGCCAACCAACCGTGAGCTCTGAAACAGCGAACCAAAGTAAACCTTCCCTCTCCATAAGTTATCTCAGGCATTTCATTACAGTGGCAGAAAGTTGGCAATACATCTAGCTGGTAAAGTTTCCTAGAGGATGCTTAGTCGCCTAGCTCTCCAGCTCCACTCTGTGCACACTCCCACTTGCCTGGCTGGGGGAGGAGTAGAGCGTTGCCTTCTTGGAGCTGGTGGGTGTGTCGTAGGGTGGCTGTTTCTCTGGACTCTAGGGAAAGACCACAAAGAAGGGCAACTTTAATTTCTCTTTCTGCAGGATTTCCCACACAAAGTCTACAAGTTCAGTGTTTTCTCCAACGAGAGACACAAACCCCTGAACACCTTCACAGCTCCCTTGTGGGAGGAAGTGTACATGTTATATTACGACAGTCATGTTCAATCACCAACTTTAACCCCTTACTTTTATTTATTTATACTAAAATCAGCTCTGCCTCTCTGTCTCTATCTTTTTCTCTCTGTCTCTGTCTTTTTGTCTCTCTCTGCCTTTCTGTCTGTCTATCTCTCTCTCTTGCCGAGGGACCTGCCCTCAGCAGGTCAGATACTGAAGAGGTATGGAATCGGCACAACTGCATACACACAGAGGAGACTTTTCTGAGGCCAAAGCTTAATTCTTCATTTTAGTTTTTCTGTCTGCTCCTACTACTGTTCTTTCTCTGTTCCATTCTTTCACCCTGTTGTTTCCTTCTTCTCCTCCCTGATGTCCTCCTCCTCCATCCTCCCTGATGTCCTCCTCCATCCTCCCTGATGTCCTCCTCCTCCATCTTCCCTGATGTCCTCCTCCTCCATCCTCCCTGATGTCCTCCTCCTCCATCCTCCCTGATGTCCTCCTCCATCCTCCCTGATGTCCTCCTCCATCCTCCCTGATGTCCTCCTCCTCCATCCTCCCTGATGTCCTCCTCCTCCATCCTCCCTGATGTCCTCCTCCTCCATCCTCCCTGATGTCCTCCTCCTCCATCCTCCCTGATGTCCTCCTCCTCCATCCTCCCTGATGTCCTCCTCCTCCATCTTCCCTGATGTCCTCCTCCTCCATCCTCCCTGATGTCCTCCTCCATCCTCCCTGATGTCCTCCTCCATCCTCCCTGATGTCCTCCTCCTCCATCCTCCCTGATGTCCTCCTCCTCCATCCTCCCTGATGTCCTCCTCCATCCTCCCTGATGTCCTCCTCCTCCATCTTCCCTGATGTCCTCCTCCTCCATCTTCCCTGATGTCCTCCTCCTCCATCCTCCCTGATGTCCTCCTCCTCCATCTTCCCTGATGTCCTCCTCCTCCATCCTCCCTGATGTCCTCCTCCTCCATCTTCCCTGATGTCCTCCTCCTCCATCCTCCCTGATGTCCTCCTCCTCCATCTTCCCTGATGTTCTCCTTCTACTTCTCTTATTTTTCTCTTATTCCTTTTCTACCTCCTAAGACAAAGATTTCTATCCAAGAAAAGATTACATCACAACTACAAGTTACATATTTTCCAAAAACAAATTAAAGTCTTTACACAGGAAGAAATCACATTATGATCACAAGTTGTATGTTTTTCTTAGAAGCCCACAAGTAGATAAACATTTTCCTTTGTATTAATTTTCCCACCATAACATCTTCACCCCAAAACAATGATTCTTTTATAATTGATTAACAAAGTGTAAGCAAACCAAGTCTATTTCAGCCAGTTCCTTTTGTACTGGCAGGCAACTATTTGCAGTTACAAAGAAAGGATCGATTATTTTATTATTTATCTCAAAAGGTAATCTTATAAAAAATATTAATCAAAAATCTAAACTTTTATGTATAAAAAACTGTCATTTATACTTTAAATCTCCAGAGTGCACACCCACTCATTAACAATTTTTTAATTAAATCATACAAGGAAGCTGAGGACAAAAAATAGGTACAAGAAATTAATCATCGCTTTTGGTCACCAACCCATCTTTAGCAAGAAAGGCATGACAGCTAATAATTAATAACAGGCTGCCTTTGTTCTTGTTCCCTGGCCTCAAGGAGTCCCTTTCTCAACTATCAAAATGTGTACTTTTCTAAACTTTAAATTGTTCCCCCAGATTTTCTATATCAAAGTCATTAACAAAAACATCTTATCCTAACTTTACTAACAATCTACATTTCTAAAGTCTTTCTAAGGGTGGTGGTTGAATCATTAATTTGCTCCAGGAGCAATGCTTGGAAAAAGTGAATTACTATTATTGTAAGTACAAGTGATAGTGCCCAGTGAGGGGCTAGAACCTTCTTAGAGTTTTCTTACAACCCATAGATGATGAGGGACGTAGTGACCACTCGGGCAGTAAGCAGAGCTGTGCTCAATAACAATGAGAGATCTTCAGAAGATGTAGTCCTGGGACTCTGTTTCTCTGAGACACACCCATTGCGTTTATGCTTGCTGTTTCTCTCACATGGCTCCTGACTCTGTGTGTGTGTGTGTGTGTGTGTGTGTGTGTGTGTGTGTGTGTGTGTGTGTGCGCGCGCGCACGTGCGCACGTCTAAGCATGGGCATGGATGTACCATGACCCATGTGTGGAGCTGGGCCCACAACCTCGGGACCATCTTAGGGGAGTCAGCCTTCTGAGTGAAGGAAGCCACAGAGGCAAATGACATGGGGAACTCAGACTGGGCACCAAGCCTCCGGTGGGGCAGGGTTGCAGAGGGAAGCTCACCTTAAGGGTCGAGGAGACCCGGCTCTGGACAGGAACGTCATACACCTGGGAAGGCAGAGTTGGCAATGAGGCCCTCGTAGGTCTGGGAAGCACGAAGAGGGTCTTGGAGAGAAAAAAGAATGGAGTCAAGATACCCAAGATCATGGCTAAAGTCATCTTCCAAACAAAGACAGCCACTGAGTGTCTGTCATCACCAGCAGGTGGGTTGATCCATCCTGAGGCCCACAGGCTGAGGAAAGACGTGAATGCAGCCCAACACATAATCCTAAATTTATACAGAACATTGTAAGGGTTTTTTTGCAAGCTTTAAAAACTTGATTGAACAGTTCCCAAGCATGAACCTTATAAATGACAATGTGAAAAGTACCTGCTAGAGACTAGGGAGAATGGGATGCTGATAGGCCGGTCTCCTGGTGAAGGGCCAGATTCCCCTTGGAAGTGGGTTAGAATACAGATTCTTGCTGTGCATGACTGGTGAATGTGAGTGAAGAGGGGGCCTTGGGAGCCTGCAATAGAGGCAAGCTTGTCTCATGATTGGAGGCCAGCCTTGAACACCCTATGAAGCCAAGGATGTTCACAATCCCTGATCTTCCTGTCTCCATATCCCAAGGGCTAGGATTACAGGCATGTACCACATTCCACCCAGGTTTATATGATGCTGGGTTCAAACCTAGGGCTTACTTAGGACTTTATGTATGCTAGACAGGCAGTCTAACTGAGCTACACTTCCAGTCCTATTTCATTCAGTTTTGTTTTAATAGGCTAAAGGACACTGGGTGCCAGGACTTCCAGTCCAAAGGAAAAGGAAACAGGACTTGTCATACCAAGGCCACAGACTGAGGACTAAAGCAAAGCAAGAAAGGAAGAAAAGGTTCCTGAAAACCCAAAGGGAGATGGATCACCTCGCTAGGTCCTAAGGAACCAGGCACTGTGTAGCGTGCTTTCCAAGCTGGATCATTGTGTATGTGTGTCAGGATTTTAATGTGGAAATCGAGACAACCCAGGCTGAGGAGCAGCTTCTGAGAACCAGGCCAGGTCCCTTTATTCCTCACTGTCCCTAGGACCCAGCTTGGAATGACACCAGTTAGGATCTAGCTTGTGTTTGGTGAATGAAAACACACAGTATAACATGTAAACACTCTCCCGGCTGTCCCTCAGTCCCTCAGCTGCGGTCTTGAGCATGGATAAAGCAGCTGTGAAGCCACAGGACATGTGTCTCTCCAGTACACACTGCAGCTGTCGAGGGTCAAACAGACCCTTTCTCTATCTGAAACCTGCTTTCTTATTTACAAGGCACATGGCTCTGTTAAAATCCAAGAGCAGGACTTCCTGAAGTGCTGTCTTAAAAAGGAAGCACCCAATGGTACCTGGAAACCTGAGTCACTCACATGGAGGAGCAGACTCCTCACAAGCTTGGATGAGAGGGTCTAGCCTCACATTCCATCTGTCTCCACTTCATGGTTTCCCGGGATAGACCTTGCAGCTTATGCTGATTCCTCAGGCTATCCAACACAGCTTCTGTTGTGTTCCATCTAAATCCCACCTTTCCCTCAAATTATACTTCAGCAACTGCTTGTGAGACGCCTGCAGCGTCCCGGGTTCGGCAATCTTCTGAGCTCTGGCTGGGGAGGTGACTCAGTCAGTAAAGTACTTGCCTTACAAACACGGAGACCTGAGTTCAATCCCAGAACCATCATGAAAACAGCTGGGATCGTGGTACCCTCTTGTGATCCCAGCACTGGGGAGGTGGGGATTCCTGGTGCTCACTGCCCACCCAACTTAGCAGAATGGGCAAGTGAGAGAGACCTTGTCTCAACCAACCAACCAAACAAAGAAGGCAGGAGGTGAGGTGGCTCACTCATTGGGTAAAGGCATTAACCACCAAGCCTGACGATTTGAGTTCAATCCCCAGGACCCACATAGTGGAAGGCAAGAACTGACTCCAGTAAGTTGAACTCTGACCTTCACATACATGCTGTGGCAAGCATGTGCCCCAAATAGATGTAGGGAAGTTATGTTTTTGTTTGTTTTACTTTGAGAAGAGCTTCACTATATAGCCCCAGCTGGCCTGGAACTTGCTTTATAGGCCAGGCTGGGTGGTCTCAGGTCACAGGGTTCTACCTGTATCTGCCTCCCCAGTGATGGATTAATGACAAGTTCCACCATGCTTTGTTCATGTGTTGCCATAAAATAACAAAACAAAACAAAACAAGGTGGACCACTTGAGCTTGACCTCTGACCTCTACATGTATATGCACACATACCTCTCCATACATATGTGTGCACACTCATAAACATACTCATACACACACACACACACACACACACACACACACACACACACACACACACACACCATGTATACACATATTGGAAAGATCAAACCAGAAGGTGGTGGTGCACACCTTTAATCCCAGCACTCAGGAGGCAGAGGAAGGAGGATCTCTGTGAGTTTGAAGCCAGCCTGGTCTACCAAGAGAATTCCAGGCCAGCCAGGACTACACAGAGAAACTCTATCTCAAAAAACAAAACAAAACAAAAAAGAAAGGAAGGAAGGAAAGAAGGAAAGAAAGAAAAGAAAAAACCAAACCCTGACCTTAGGGGATCGTCCCAGGATCAAATTCATCAATGGTTCAATTGCATTTTGAATTCAATCTACATTCAGTCCCCACTCCCTTTTCCAAGCTCTTCCTTGCCTAGGCCCTTAGGTCTTCAGGCCATTTTATGCAGATGGACGACTTTGTGGGTCACGTGACTGTGGGAGCACCCAGGGACTTTCCTATGAGTGCCACTTCAAAAATGTCCCATGTTTCTTGGGAAAGTGTTAGATTCCAGATACAATTAAGGAACAAGCCTGAGCACTGTGGTTTCCACAGGCTTACAGAGGCAGAAGGAAGTCATTCCAAGTGAGCAGCAGCAGGAAAACTGTCCCTTTGCACTTGAAATACCGAAGTGGCCCTTCTCAGAATGGCAATATGTTCTGTGTGTGGTTTTGTGTGTGATTAAGTCCGGTTTCTACATTAAATAAAGGAAGTTGGAATGAAAAGCAAAACAAAGACCCAGAAGGGTGGTTTCCTGGGTGAAGCTACAGGAGGAAGGCAACGGGGGCTTCTGGGAGCTGCTTTGTTTGTTTGTTTGTTTGTTCTTGTGGATACTAGTGGCTGAGCTGTGCCTCCAGGTCCTGAGTGTGACAAATTGACACAACTCAATGGAAAGAATTATAGTGGGAATTTGCTCCACCCATGGCCTTGGGCTACCTGGCCTGATGGAGGCAGTGCTTCCTATCTGCCAGCAGTGACCGCTTAAAAGGGAGGAGAAAGGGGGTCTCGGTCTCTTGGGTGGTGAAGACGGCCTGAAGCAGCATGTCATCGGTCCCTAGCTTTCCAAGGACTCTGCAACTGGATTTACCTTATCCTGTATCAGTGAGTCTGTTTTCCGCACAGTGCCCCTTAATAAAGTGATATTATAGACCACTGAGGCTCTTGCTACAAAGAATAGCTTCGGGACCAGAGAGATGCCTCAGTGGGTTAAGGTGCTTGCTGCCAAGTTCGATGACCTGAGTTCAGTTCCTAGGACTCACCGGGTGAAACGAGAGAACCAACTTTCATGAGTTGTCCTCTGACCTTCGCAAACAGAAATAAAATGTAATAAAGAAGGAAAGAAACCGGACTAGATAACTGAAGACATATGCTTAAAAAAAGAAAGAGCAGCTTCAGCCAGGGTCACATAAAGAGGGCCACACAGAGAGCAGAGACGCTGAGGATAAAGAAAGGTCTTGCTTTTAGAATAAGGTGGACAGACAGACAGACACAGACTGACTTGAAAACATCAGTTCCTGCCCTGGGCTCACATCGACTCACCAGGATGGGAAGTTTGACATCCCTGGAATCACTACTCTCTTGTGTAGAATGGAGGGCTATTCTAATCCAAAGGCCCTCAGAGGCTTCTCCTAGATAGACACACCCGATTCTGACACACAGATGAAACTCTCACGACAATTTGAGAAGAGTGCTGTGCTCCAGGCATCTTGGTTTTGAATGCCGGGCCACTCTCAATCCTGAGAGACGGGCACTGGCATAAAGGAGCTCATGAAAGAACTTGCTTCAGCTGTGGTTTGAGCCTGCAAACTGCAATGGAAATAGCCCCAAGGGCCGGGTTTGAACTTGCCTAATTCTACCTATGACTGTTCCTGGTTGGAACGCATCTTCTGGGCAGCCTCAGACTCAGGGATAAATGGTCCTGAGCACGAAAGACATCCATGCCTGCCTTCCTGTGGACCAGATCATTCGGAACGGATTGTTGACTATTCTTGGAGTGTCTGGCTCTTGCCTTTTTGGAGTAGAGGAAATTATTTGGACTCTCCTAAGGGTACAGCTAGGGGTTGACCTTAGAAGTCATCAGTCTGAACTTCCCCAACACACAAAGAAAGGGACAGAGGGTGCCGGAGAACTCCTAATGCCCTGGATTGATAGTAGCTGCCTCCAAAGTCAAAGGCCAGGACACCAGTCCCTGAAGAGGAGGAGGAGGAGAAGAGAGAGAGAGGAGGAGGAGGAGGAGGAAAAAGAAAAGGAGATTAGGAAGAGCAGGAGGAAGTGGAGGAGGAGGAAGAGGAGGAGGAGGCTAGAATGTAGTTAGGACACACAAAGAGGGAACCTGAAGAAAAGACAGGACATTCCCCAGGTCTTTTCTGTGGTCCCTTGCAGAACCTGCTCAGGGCCAGAGGACCCGAGTTCCCCTGCAGTCACTGTGGTTTCTCTTGGTCACCAGAGGGGCCCTCCTGGAAGGTGCATGCTGCTGACAGGCTTCAAGGACAGACCTTGCTGCACACACAGCACCTGTCCTCTGAGTGAAGTTGCGATGGAGAACTCAGCTTCCCCTCGTATCGTGTGGGTTTTCGGGTGGACACGGAGCCTGGCCCTGTGCTGGCGCTGGGAGTCTTGGCAGCAGTGGGTATCACGTCTGCTTTCCTCTCAAGGAGAGTCAGACAGACCTTTACTTTTTTTCCCCTTCATTTTAGTGATTTTGGAAGAAATTCAAATTAAAGCTGGCTGGCATGACTTCTTTTCCACAATGTAATTTATTTATAGTATGTGCACACGTGGGTGTCACAGTGCACTTGTGGAGGTTAGAGGACCATGTGTGGAGTCTTTCCTCTCTGTTCACCATGTGGGTTCTGGGCAAACTCAGGTCATCAGGCTTCTTTACCTGATAAACCGTGTCGCTGCCCCTTAAAGAAACACCGCCAGAGACCCTCCTGAGTCAGCCATTCAGACAGCAGTGCGTGCTGGAGCCTGGACAACTGTTCCAGAAAAGACAGGGAGGGCCCCTGTGGACAGTGGCTGGAGGCTCAGACAGCACCCCCCTGGCGTCTGCAGCCAGCCCTTGCGTACGACAGCTGTCTGTACTGGTACCAGGCAGCTTAGGGAGCTGGGGAGTCTCAATATACAAAAATCTGAAGGGATTACCACCCTGTTGCTGGGTGGAAGCTGGAGTGGCAGAAGGCTGAGTGATATGAGCATGTTCTGGGGTCCTGACAACACACACACACATACACACACACACACACACACACACACACACACACACACACACACCCCAGAGGCAGTGATCCTTCTCTGTCCACTTTTCTAAGAAAATTGTTGGCCGTATGGTCAGGGGAGATGTCATTTGAGTGGAATGCCAGGTGTCAGATGTTAGAAGATGCCTGTGGCCATTGAACACAGTGGTTTTTGTTGGTTTGTTTGGTGTTTGTGAGACAGGGCTTCATGTAGCAAAAGCTGGCCTCAGACTCATTCGATAGCCTGCCCTGAACTCCCATTCCTCCCACATTCATCTCCTGAGTGCTGGGATTACAGGGGTGCTCCACCAGGCCTGGTTTATGCGGTGATTGGGATAGACCCTAGGGCTCCAAGAATGCTCCATAAGCACTTCACCAACCTAGCTCCAGCTCCAGGCGACCTGCACTGTATTGTTAAAGGCCCAGGAAGGCCAGGCTTGTGGGGAGAATACCACAGCACAGTTCTCGTTTCTTCTTTTAATTCCTCTGCTTGTTTAAGGCCCCGACATTGTGATCACGGCTCCCAAGCTCCTCCACCTGCGTGTAGAATTCACAGATGCGTGTCCCACGGGACATCCATCTGTTTCTGATCTGTTCATGAACTACTGATTGAGGACCTGCCTTGTGCAAGATTCTGGGGACATGGGACAGAATAAAATAAAGGTCCCTGCCCATTACCTTGTTTAATTTTCTCCTTCCTCGATTCTACTTCCTGAGGAGAACTACCTGTGTGGGTTCTTCTAGGTCTTTCCAGCCCACATGTGCACCTGCACCTGCACCCACACACACACACACTCACACATGAACACACACATGCACACATTCACACACACACACACACATACATTCACACACACACATATGCACACACACACTCACACACAGAATTTGTTTGTTTGTTTTGCCTAGTCTTTGGTTAAAGGATTCTGTCTTCCTGTTTAGAACAACTGCGTGGAAACACTCCATTTCTTACCCCTTTGTAGTCGTTTGCTGTGATGACAGGGTAAAAGACACTTTTCTTGGGTAGGGGTGGGGTGGGAATGGACCAGCAGATAAATGCACTGGCCACCAAGCCTGGGGACCTGAGTTTGATCTCTGGGACCTGCACATGGAGGGAAGGAGAGAACCATCCACTGATTTACACACATGTGCAGTGGCCCAGGCATGCTCTGATCCCAACCAAATAAGTGAATGAGGAGGAAAAAAACTTCCCAAAATGTCGTAACTGACCTTCTTGCACGCAAACACTTGGGGACCTGTGGGTTTTCCCTAGCACCCATGTGACCACACCCCCCTCCTGATCTCTATTTGTCTTCTTGTATATTTCTGCAACAATTCTAGAAGTAAGTTGTCTGGGTGGAGGCTGATGCGTGCCTTGAACGTGATGAGTAATGCTTTGCCTTTGACACAGTGTGAATTAACGCATCCCTTGTCTCTCTGGTCTCTAGTGGTCTCTGTGATGTGGGGCAGCCCACAGGCTCCTGAACAAACCTCCACGGGCCTTCAACTGACAGCACAGGGTGGCCAGTCTTGGTGAGCTGGGTAGTCACAGGGATGCTGAGTGTGAAGGAAATGAGATGAGACCTTAGTCATGCTCAACAGGGTTCCAGGTCCTGTTTTGCACATTTGATCTAATCAATGGCAATGACTGGGGCGTATTGCAGCCCCTGGGTATTCCCACACCCTTTATGGTGCTGTCCTTAGAGACACACTCACCTGTTTGGGGAAGCTCAGAGTCTTTTCACAGACGATCCTTGCACTGGACGGTGAGTCAGGAAATTCATAGACTTGGGCAGTAGCTGGTGGTGGCGGCCCCTCCACCCAGCTCTTCATCGGCTCATACACAGGCCCTGGTGGTGGTGGGCAGAACAAGCTGGGCACCTGATACAGAGCCTCTGAGCTGGTGAGATCTGTGTCCAGGCCTCTCAGGAGCAGGGGACAGGATCTGTCTGCAGGGGTCTCTTTGAGGACTTGGAGGCGGTTGGCTGGAGCCAGGCCTTGCCTCCCGTGGAGCAGACACTTCCACCAGCCCTCACTTTCTGGCACATTTTGTTCCACGATCGTCAGTATGTCCCCTCTGGAGAAAGCCAGCTCGTCGGAGCAATCAGGATGGTTGTCGTAAAGTGCCCTGGCCAACAGGGTCTGGGGGAGAGAATGTGCTGTTACAGTCATGGTCAGTGGCATCCCTGCACCAGGCCACCAAGAAACTGCAGCCCTAACAAGCCTCCAGGCTGCTTTCACACACCTCCCCAGAGGCTCTGGCCCCGCTCTTTACCTGATTTATCCTTCTCATCCTTGGGGTTTCTGAGATGCTTTGCCTGCACCCCCAAGCCCAAGGTGAGTAGCTCTAATAAGCCCTTTCTTAAAATTGTACTTGCCTGCTGCATGAGGACACACAGTTGGGCCAAAGTCCCATGTACACCACGTACTTGGCTTGAAATTCTTAGCTGTGTGCCCTTGATCATATTAGCTACCCTCTCTGAGCCTCAGTTTTCTTATGGATAAAATGAGAATAACAGCGTCACCTACTAATGGGGTTATTACTAGAATTAAATGTTTGTGCATACATATGTATATATACACACAGAGGAGATCAATACATTTCATTTGTCTATGACTCTGTCCCCAGCATCAGCCTCAGCCCCAGGCATACAGGAGAAGCTCAAGGGATGTTTGTCAGCTGGGCTTGGTGGCTCACACCTGCAGTTTCAGCATGTGGGAGGCCTGCTGCCGGAGAACTGAGAGCTCAAGACCTGCTGTCTCAAAAAACAATAAAGAGCTAGGGAGGTATCTCAGTGGTGGAGAGCTTGCCTCACCCGTGGGAGGCACAGTCTGAGTGCTGTTGGGGACAGCGGACAGGGTGACAGTCTGTGGCAAAGTTTTGTTCAATCGCCACTGTCTCCGCCTGGTAGAGCCTCAGGACTCTGTTTCTTGATATGTCTGGGACACACTTGTTTAACACTTTTGCCAAGAACACTTGAAATGGTTTTAAAATATTCTCTCTCTGTCTTCTCTCTCTCTCTCTCTCTCTCTCTCTCTCTCTCTCTCTCTGTCTTCTCCCCCCCCACCCCCCCGGTCTGAGTATGAAGTGCCTGAGGTGCCCAAAGAGACACTGGATAGCTGGGTGCTGGGAACCAAACTCGGATCCTGGAAGAGCAGCAAGCTCTCTTGACTGCTGAGCCATCTCTGCAGCCCTTGGAGTGCTCCTTAACCCGTTCTTGGAAGTACTCGGACTCTCCAAACTGCCCTGGCAGTGGGTGGCTTCCGTTCATCTTGGGGAACTCACCCTACCTCAAATTTATCCTTCCAGATAGCTGATGGGTCCTGTGGGGTCATAGCACGTCTGCAAAGATTTCCCCCGTCCCCACAGCAAACCACAGGCATGGGGACTTTCCTATATTAAGTTGAAAAGCAGAGAACTGGCTTGGCACTCCTGGACTGCCTTCTCATATGTTAATATATCTTCCTTCAGAAGTTCAGCAAACATTTACCGAATGCTGCTGTCATATGGCACTGAGTTTTTAGAAACACCAATTCCAATCATGTCATTCCCCTCTTACAATCCTTCAGTGCCCTGGTATCCTTGGAGTCCAGAACCTTCTATCTCCCACACTTCCTCACCAGTCTCCCATGACCACTCTTGCTGAGGATTACAGTCCTGTCCATCTGCTCGTCCCTCTACCCACAAACATTCAAGCAGCTTTTTACCCGTTGAGATCCCACACAGGCTTCTAGACTCTCCTTGAATACCACTTCCTGAGAAAAAGGATTCTCTGGTGCCACCCTGCCAACCAGACTGGTTCTTCCAGCCTGCTTGGGATCTTCCCATGTCCACGTTCATATCTAACTCACAGAGGACAGCCACCTCTCTGCCTGTGCCCCACGAGAGCAGGGTGCACACCCTCCTCACTCTCAGCGGTGTCCCCAGGGTCCACATTAGCCTTTTCTTGGGTTGACTTAGGGAGTAAAAAGCTGGAGTGGGAGACAAGGGGATTTTCTGTGACACAGTGCCAACTCCTTTAACAATAGTTAAAGAGATGCTAGAAGAGAGGACCAGAAGATGCTGGTACACACTCCTGCAATGTGATGTCCCGCGTTCACATGGAGGCCTGCAGAAACCAGCTGGGTTGATGTGCTAAAGGGAGTTGGGTTATGGACTCTTCATGGAGCGTTGACTAAAGGCTCAGACTTAGTGAGGTGACAGGATACAGGATTCCTAGACTTTCTGTTTGGTTTTTGAACATTGCTTTTCTATAATCCAGGCTGACCTCCTGATCCTCCTGTCTCTGCCGCCTGAGTGCAGGGATTGCGCTGCGCCTGGCAACTTATTTGGTATCTGCAGGAGATTCACAATTTTACCTTGTTGAAAGCTACTTAGTAGTCCCGTTACTCAGGGGACTGAGGCAGGATGACTGTTAGTTTGGAGTCACCCTAGGCTACACTCTAAGTTCCAGACCTGGGCAATGAGGTAAGACCCTGTCTCAAAAAATGCAGAAGGGTGGGGGGAATTACAACTTAACCATTTATTTTGGGAAAATAGAAAAGCAAAAGCTGGCCTTTTCCCTTCACAGTTCTTGTGAAATCCATTCAAAGCGCTTTTGAAGGGAGACCTGTCACTGAACCGTGCAGAATCTGTCTGGTTCACTATGGGTGCCACGGAGCAGTTGCTGAAAGCAGCTGAACCACACTGTCCAGACAGCAGTGGCTTCTTCTGGGTCTGGACATTCAGGGAGGAGGGGTGTTTCCAGAGAACAATGGGTTTTCAGGATCATCCAAGCCAGGAAGCATCTGCCACATGGGGCCCCCACAGCTGTCCTGGATTGATAGCAGCTGCCTCGTTCCTGACATACGGTTTCCTGCAACTGACTGCTTGCTGCCTGGCCACATCTTCAAAAGCAAAGTGACCTCTAAATATGCCACAACACGAATCCCTTCTGTACCGTACTTCTTTATAAATAGCACAGAGTGCCTTTGGCTACCCCAAGCAATCAATTATTATAATTTCCCAATTAATTCATTAATTGCAGTGCTGAAGGTGGAGCATAGGGCTTCAAGCATGCTAGGTAAGCAACGAGAATGCCCCTAGCCTAAGTCACCACATTTTAATAACAGAGACAATCAAAGTTTGTCACACAAGAATAAATCAAACAGGACAAGGTGGCACATGCCTGTAACCCCAGCTTTGCGGGGGGGGGGGGGGGGGGCGGCTGGTGGTGGAAGCAGGTGAATTGGGAGTCCAAGGTCATCCTGGTCTACCGAAAACTATGTCTCAGAAAGTCAAAACAAACCAAAATGAAGCAGCGGCAATAACAACGCCAGAAGAGGAATGAAACACACGTGGGCATCCCAGGAACAGAGTGAATTATACGGAATGGGACTCTGTTTTATTGAGTGCTCAGACATTTCATATCACAAATTCCAGAAGCCTCAGACAAGGGCTCTCTTGTCTCCATTTTACAGGTAAGGAAAAAGAGAGTCAGAGAGATCTAATGACTGTCCAAAGTCCTTTGGACTCAACAGATCTCTTCCCTTCTATTCTTGACCCCCTCCCCACGAATGCCTTCTTAGTCTCCAGCAAGAATATTCTACACACACACACACACACACACACACACACACACACACACACACACACAGACACACCTCTGAGTCTGTCTAAAAACTCAACTTACAACTGTTTTTAGGATGCCAGCTAAGCTCCTGGGGATGGCTTTGAGGCCCCCATGGTCAGCCCTCAGGCCTGCCACTCCTGGCCTCATTCGTGGTCTTCTAACCATATTGTTTCTTGACTTTTCCATAATGCTCCCAGCTTGGGACCATCCCTTGCCATCCCATTTGCCCAGGACACTCTTTCACCAGATCTTTGCATGACTGACTTTCCGCTCAAGGGTCCCCTCTGTAGAGGCTGCCTCCCTCCATGTAGTGTTGGGCTCCCACGTGAAGGACCTATGGCAGGCCCTATGGGCAAATCCAGCGGGGCAAGTCATGGCCGGTTTGTCATGTAGGGAGAGGAGACACCACAGCAGCCCCTAGAGTGACAGCAGCAGTATGTCATCACTGCGCACCCAGGCTCCTGGCACCGCCATGCTCAGCTCTTTGAAAATAACATATGGAAGCAGTTGACAGCCACAGCCACGGAACCTGACCACAGTCCAGTGGTCACAGAGGGTGACTTGAAGGCCATTCTTTAATAGGGTGTTAATTTGGAAACATCGGTATGGATACTTAAGTGACAGCGTAGGACACACAGTTATCTCTGCTTCTTATGAGCACACAGGCAGCTAGACTTCATGCACAAAAGGAGAGACGTTCTTATTTTAAAACTTAAGAACGTTATCTTTCTATGTTATGTTGTGTGCATGTGTGTGGTTGTGCGTGTACCTCAGCACAAATGTGAGGGCCAGAGGACAATTTGCTGGAGTCAGCTCTTTCTACGGTCTCCGAGCTAGATGCAGTTCACTAGGCATGGCGGCAGGCACCCGTGCTGCCCCTTACCCACTGGGTCTTCTCACTGCCTCTGAGGTGCTCCTTTTCATTCTTGCTTTTATGAAAGAAAATTTTAAACAAGCGTCATGTCCATTCCTTTCTTACTAGGTTGAGTCACTACGTGGGAGCTAGGAATCAAACCCTGGTCCTCTTGGAGAGCAGCCAGTGTCCTTAACCTCTGAGTCATCTCTACAGGCTACTATGGTTTTGAGGCAGGATCTCATATAGCTCATGCTGGTCTATATTCCCTAAATAGCTGAACTTCTGATCCTCCTGTCTCTACCTCCTCAATTCTGGGTTTACGGATGTGTGCCACCACACCCTGTATGGGAGAAACGTATGGCCATCCAGACAACTGGTCACTTTCCAGTTCCTCTAACTCCCCTGTTCACATATCCTCAAGCCCTCCTATGGGACCTCCCACATGTCTCTTCCTCTGTCCACAGGTCCTCTCCCCACCTTCATCTGACTAAGCCCTCCCCCTCAGATAGAAGTTTCTATGGCCACTTGTACATGCTCATCTCCATACAACAGTCAGGAAACAGAAGAGACATGAACAGGCATTTGGAAGGCAGAAGCAGGAGGGGCTTAGGACCATGAAGACAAAGAACGGGGTGACCTCACTGCAGGGGGGACCCGAAAGAATCAGTGTGCAA